TAATTATTATAATTATTATAAACAAATATTGATCCGGTTCAAATATTTATCTGAATTTGTACTTTGTATGTCTATCGCGGATGCCTATTTCACCTTGTTTCCATGTTAATCATGAAATTGACATGTGATTTAAATACTTCCCATCAAAATACTTAGATTTGATTTATTGAATCTGGACAATTGAGTAATTTTTAAAAAATAAACCATAAAGGTTACCTAATGTCAAATGTTCTGTATCCTTTATCGCGCATACGCTCGGTATAAATGTACTGTATGTACGTACGTTTATGAGATAATATCTTTATTTTGACATCTTATTGATTCATAGTATTGTTTTTGTGTAGCATTATTCAAAATTTGACGTACATAATTTGATGTAAATAAACAAAATCTTTTTGAGTTCCGCATCATCATGATGCAAAATTTGACGTACTTTGTTCCACTAGTTTGTTTTTTTAACAATAATTTGCGCTAACGTGATTTAAAAAAATAAAAATTAAACAATAAACATTATCCCTTAAAACGAATTAATCCAGGAAACACAGTATGTTTTTTATTAGGAATTTTACATATTTGACATTCCAATTTTTTTTTATTTATTTTTTTATCTCATATAATTATAACATAACCACAATTATTTACTATAAATATATAATACTGTAAAAACAAGAGTTCTATAAATAGTTACCTTCAAGTCAAATCATTAGATGACGCTGTATACAGTATAACTATCTCAGTCGGTAATAATATAGAACTACTTTATTTTGGATCCAATATAGGACAAAAAAGTTCGCACGTTACTTTGGTGGTAAGATTTTAGTTTTTTGTTAAAAGCAGGGCTGTGTTTAAATTACAATAAAAAATATTTCTAAAAAGTGTGCAGATCAGTCTGTGGTATAAATGTGTTCCTCGTGGTTTAAACATTGTCACTTTAATGCGTTTTAATTTTAATTATGAAAACAAACAGTAAAATGGCCAGTGTCCAATTACTTGTTGGTAGAAAATGCAAATTTCTATTATTGGACATATGTCCAATATCATACTCTATTTGTATCCCGGACTTTTACCAGCCAATTTTTATATAAAATTGTCCCCTGAATCCGAAAAGACCGTCAAAAACTATAAAAGTTAAGCAGTTTTTGAGATATAGTCAATACCATATTATATGTAAAATTGATTATATTTCAAAAACTGTCATACTTTTATAACTTTTGACGACATTTTCGGATTCAGCAAATAATATTTCATAGGAATTGACTGCTAAATGTCCTGGATACAAATTGCTGTCGACGAGAAATATTAGTGGCTGCTTTTTCGCTATGACATTTTTGACTAATTCATTTTTAGAAAGTAAGTAATATAGTGATTTCTTTGTCACAGGACATCTTGGAGAATAACAGTGATTTAAATACAGTGCATGATAGAGAACATAAAAAACTTATGGCAACAAAATTCTTTCAACATACCACCCGAAAAAATATTAGATATATATATAAATCATCCTGTTCCGGCCTAAACATTATAAATGCTTCACAAACTAGAGATACCACACTTAATGATATTTGCAACAAACTATTATAGAATTCATAATCTCAGAATCTAAAAAAGGGATGAGGAATCCGAGAAAGAAATATACGAATTAAATGATATTTACAAAAAAGAAATAAAAAAAATTACCTAAAACAACAATTTGGCTTTAAAAAATATTTAACAATTTATGTTATTTGATGTAAATTTGTTATGTTTATATAAAAATTGTATGTCCAATAACTATGGTCCATGTGTCCAATTACTATATAGAATGTCCAATTACTATACTTTTTTGCATGTTTTTATAAAATTATTATTAAAAATTCAAATATTCTTATTTTTAAGTAAACGTAAATAAAGTTTAAACAAATAAACTATCCAGTGTGTCCACGGATAGAGTTCGGAAGAAGAAAAACTTTTTTATTTGTGGGTTTAGAAAAAAAAGTCACTCTTTATAAAAACGTCTGCTTGTGTTGAAACTACAATTTCGAATACCAAATTTACGATTACTATACAGGGTTAGCTAGAAACAACATTTTTATTTTTTTGGATTTCGTTTAAAATAAATTTTCATAAGAACAGACAACTATTTTTGCTTTCCTACTTAGAATATAATTTTATATCTGGCCGAATAACGATTTTGTTGTAAGAAAACTACTTATTTCTTATTTGTATTTTTGTTTTTACATGTTAAGTATTTCTTAATCATAAATTATAAAATATTAAAATTAAAATATTAAAATCGTTGGGTATTGACTCTTGAAGTGGTAGGACGCTCTACGATAGTTAACGAGATCCCTCCTAAGCAGCGTATACGATACAAACGTAGTAAAGTACCAAAAGCGAATCTAAGTATCCGGAAATATTGGTAATCGGTAATAAATAAATAAATAAACAACAAGTGCGGGAGGACCCCGGTTATGGCCGTAAAATAACAAAAAAATCAATATCGATTCTACACGAGATAACTGTCCCAAGTGCAAAACAGTGCAAATTGTGTGTGGTACCTCCTCCTGGATTAAGTCCTCAAGTGTTTGACCTGGTTAAAAGGTGTGAGAGAGACGATCAGTGAAAATGAAAATTTCCTGGGCTACCACACGTGCGGGCGGCATGCGATAAGGATCAATTTCAGCATACCTGCCTGGCAATTATCCCGAAGTCCAAGTCTGCATAAATTAGATAAGTAGCTACCGAAATTGCATGACCATATAATACCCAATAATATTAATACTAGTTAATACGAAAGACGCAACCTTTAACTAACAATAATTCTTCAGGTAATTCTTCAGGTAAAATTAATTAGTCGCAATTCTCATTCAAAAATAAAACATAGTCAAAAAAAACTATAAACACAAGGGCACATAAGAAGCCATTAATCACTTAAGTTACGATAAACATTAGGCAAAATAAACCATCTTAAATAAATAAACATCTATAGATTACTAAGACGTTGAGGGGACCATAAATTAGGTAAAAACCGTTCCAAGCGTAAATAAATAGCCGCACCGCACAGTGAGGCGCAAAGATGGACCCAACTCCAAGTGAATGGGGATCGCACACAGTGGGAAAAAAAATAATTCGAGGGTATTGACAATTTCAGTAGGTTAAACAAAGGCGGGAAAAACAGCTGCTTATGAAGTCGGCTCTCGGCATGAAGGGCCGAATTTCCACATAGTCAGAGGGCACTAATTACGGCGGGGTGCGGTCGGCAACACTTCGGTTCTGAAGATAAGACTCAATATCGCAAAGGGGGGCAAACAATTCTAAAGCGGCTATCCGACTCGGACAGCGACGAACAGGAAGTACACCATCAAGGAAAGGCGCTAGCAGCATACTAATCCACCTACCCCCATTCAGGAATCCCAACTGAATGGGGTTATTACTAAAGCCCTGGTTGAGGAGGATTCCGGATTGTACTTAGTTTTGGGTCAGTTGTGTCTTCCTAAAACCCTTCCTAAACTGGACGCATGGCCCGATCCGGCTGACAAAAATCCGTGGAGCGGCCTTAACCATAGACACTGTCATCCACGACCTCCTAGGGTGGATCTACCAGCCGGCGTAAAAACTTCGGATCCAACAAACACAGGTAATGCTGTGATTTGGCGGAATACGCAGGAGAACGGAAAGGGGGTAAAATAACCCTAGGATTCGATCAGCTAAAGGTATATCTTGCAAATGATCATAAAAAAAATTGTTCAGAAGATGCAAATAAGTATGTTGATTTAAATTGTTTTCAATAAAATATGGTCCAATGATTCCATTATAAGAAATAGCACACCACACGTTAACTTTGTGTGAATACTGTCTTCTAGAGCGGATACGAAAATTAGGATTGTCGCGGCTCCAAAAGCGACAGTTTTGCGAACTAACTACCCCGTTTGAGGTAAAAGTTGCCTCGTCCGAGAAAATAATATTATTAACAAAACTTCTTTGTCTAAGGATATGTTCCCCTATCAACAAACAAAAATCCAAACGCTTCATGTCGTCATTTTCTTCCAGAAAATGATTAAATTTAGGTTTGTACGGACGAATTTTAATATTTTTCCTACTTGAGATTTACTCACATTACCAATTTGAGAAGATCTTTTTCTTAAAGACAGTTTGGAAAAATTTCTAACTGAATTGTCATTACAGTTACAGCATCATCTTCATCATACTTTTTTTTCTCCCTTTTTTTAATTTAAAACACTACCAGTTCTCATGAATTTTATTACAATTTTTTTTAAATCATTGTCCGTGAGAGGACCATCAGGCCATATCTCATGGAATTCTCGAAGAACTGCAATATAGCTTTTCTCATGTCCTAAACCATAACTTCGCACAATATAAATTCTTTGTTCTAACATTAGCATTTTCTAATTTCACTATTATGCAAATTTATGAGAAAATTATGAAACAACTATCAAAATTATGACACAACTATCAACAATTTGAAAGATGCAAAGAAACTAAAACATTTCATTTAATTAGAACAGGCTACTTGATATTTTATTATTTTAAAAGTAGATTTGAAATTAACCACTTTAAAAAAATTGTTTATTGGACTTTTTTGCACAATTGGTGTAATAAATCACGGTTTTGAAAATATTTTCATAAAATTTCGAAAAAAATCGAAATCCAAAAAAATAAAAATGTTGTTTCTGGCTAACCCTGTATAGTAATCGTAAATTTGGTATTCGAAATTGTAGTTTTAACACAAGCAGACGTTTTTATAAAGAGTGACTTTTTTTTCTAAACCCACAAATAAAAAAGTTTTTCTTCTTCCGAACTCTATCCGTGGACACACTGTATATATATATATATATATATATATATATATCAATTTTAAATAAATAATATTCCTTAAGTGTCCAATAACTATGTGGTTTACCCTATGTATGTGTCCTGAAAATGAGGTTAGAAATACATACCTACATATATTTTTACTACTTGCTGTATTATATAAAAAATAAAATGTTGAAGCCAAATCAAAATTAAAAATATAAAACTGATAAATTAAAGTGATGTCAGCGTTTAAAATTATAATATGAATGGAAATTTGTTTTTAGTTACTGATAAAATTAATATTATAATATTATTTCAATCATTTTTCTTCAGTTGTTATTGAGTTAACAGTTGAGATTTGTTGTTGTGAGTTTACTAAATATTTTTATGAAAAATAGGTAAATATTTACTTTATTATTATACAAAAACAAATGGGCTTACCGGGCAATGTTAATTAATTTTACGAAGCGTTTTGGTGTTTTTCTTTAGTTGATAAAATAATTTTTCAAGCTATTTTAAATTTAATATGGGTCCATTAAGTAGTAACTTTAAATTCAAAAAATACTATACTTAAAACGCCCATGAGCAGCTACATATCCACGGTGGTCAAAACTAAAGTATAGGACGAACAAAAATGCCAACCAAAACTGATAGCATAATCTGATTATAGATTCTTTTGGTAACACAAAAATGTATTTATCAAAATCCCAGCTGATCCTTTATTAAAGTTTTGCATATTTCTTAGTATTTTAAAATTGTTTATGCCATTTAGATAAAAAAATCTAGTACCATTATCAAATGTTTTCAAAAATTTGGCAGATTTGGCAGTTTGCAATATCTTATTTATTGTTTTAAGGTACCTAATACAAAACTAATAAATAACTAAAGATTCTTTGAAGCAAAATCGATTACTGCTTGCCTTAAATTTTCAGTAAAACTTTTTCTTGGGAATTGTTTTTAACATGGAAACAGTATTTTTAAATTCTTCAGTCTCTGTACAAACATGCTTCTTACATCTAGCGATATCCCCTAGAAAGGAAGAACATATCAAAACTTTAGTTCGTTCGTCCGTCCTCTTCCCTTAATAATTTTTTATGCCCTTTATATCTTGCCATTTTGCAGATAAAGCACATACATTATTGGCTGCCGCGAAATTCTCTAGCAATTTCTAAATTTTGAAAATTCGGCAATTGTGGCTATGCAAAAATAGGTAGGTAATTTTGAATCACTTAAGTTAAAGTTTTCGTTTGAAAAAGTCAGCAGTAATTTTTATATTTTCTCAGAAACCCTAAACTCTGAATTTTTCGATTACCAAAAACAATTTTGTCTCCACAGCCAGCACATACCTTCTTTCGATTTTCTTCATGGCTTAACTTGAATTTCGGTTTAATTTTCATTTTAAAATACCATTTTTAACTTTATAAAGTATACATTAAATAAATATCTAAAGCAAAATGTCACTTGCATGCGTCATAACGTATAGCAATTTTTTTCATAACCACCTTAATTATTGTTTTACAAAATTTGCAAGTTGTAATTATTTCATAAACAAACTTCCAGTATTTTTTGTTATAAAAATTTATTTAAGATATAAATCTTCGTTTTTTTTGTTATGCTTTGTTTTGAGTGGTAAAAAATAATAGGTGACTCAATAAAGTAATACTGGGGAGTAAAGTAATTTAAATGATACAAAGTTTATTATTTTGCTTAATTTTATTAAAATTGTACAGGTAGTTTTAGTACAATAATTGCAAAATAATATGTAGAAATAGAAAAACAAAAAAGTTTGCAAAACTTTAAAATAGGATCAGCTGGGATTTTGATAAATACATGATAGTGTTACCAAAAGGGTCTATAATCAAAATATGCTATCAGTTTTGGTTGGCATTTTTGTTCGTCCTATACGTGTATCGTCTTTTAAAAATTTAAAATTTTAGTTAATAAAAGAAGAATTCTAATTCAAAGCATTTATTATTGCAGAAAATGACTCATAGGCGAAGACGTCGTTGGAATAAATCAAATAGTAAAACGGTTTACAATATGTATAAAACTCCTGGAATGAACTCAATAAAAACTGAAGAAAAGCAAATATCTATTCCGGTCGTTAAAGTTTCTTCGTATTGTCAAACCGAAACCGAAAGTATGTAATAAAATAGTTTTTCTACTCCTATACTTAATTTCGTTTATTGTACATTTCCTACCTGTACATTATGATACCAATTTTTCATTACGATGCAGACTTTTATCCAATAGAAATGGGATAGAAGGCAATATTCTGTCAATGTCAACTAATGCCTTAAAGATCTGAAAGATCTAATATTTATTAATTTTAACTTACAAAGTAAGTTACTTTTATACTTTGTATTTTACCTATGTACTTTAGAACTTCAGCCAGTGACTAAAATGCCATAAAGTCACTGATCGTCAATGTAGAAGTAGATAAAAGATATTAATGAACACCGACAAATTATCATTAGTTTTTGATAAACTATTGGCTGGTAAACTGCTAATGATATACTATAAACTGGATCACCCTGTACACATTTTTCAAATTTAATTTTTGTTTAATTTCAAATTAACATTTTGAAATTTGTTTTTGTTTTAGGAATGTTATAGTTTTTAAATTATTTATGGTGCTTGATTTATTAACTATAAAATTAATTCCATCAAAATTATATGTATTTATTTGTTATTTATTATCTTAAATATGCATGGCGCTATAATAATATTTACCCAAATTAATACTTGATTATTCAAATTACAAATCAAAATAACCCAAAATAAATTCCACAGTAATGCATTCCTTTGTAAAGTATCCTTAATTTAATTTATTGCAGAGCTGACCAGCATTTGAGGAACATCAATTTTAAATATGGGACAGTTGGATCACGATAAACAAAAATTTAATGATTTTATATCAATGGGTAAACAAATTTGCACTCATGTGAAAGTTTTTTTTAAGTCTATAATTGTCATTAACTTTTTGTTTACGCATTATATCTTTTGCAGTGGTCCAAGTAAAGAAAAAACCGTTTCTAATTCAGGATCTGGAATCCGTTAATAGGATCACGAATTTTCCCATTGTTGAGACTGGGTGGCACTACGCCGAAAATATATACAACAAGATTAAGGTAAATATTCAAATTATTTTTAACTAGTCCCATGTTAGATGACCCACGAGTTTTCGTTTTATAACCAGCATAACGGCACTGAAAAATATTCTTGTACCAAATATATTTATTTGATTCAAAGCAATCTTTGTCTCATATACACTCACAGGCAAAATAATCAATCCACATTTGATGTCGGATTTAAACGAATATTAAAGAATATTGTAGATAAATTAATGGACAATCGATCACATTTTAAAAAATTACTAAAAAATAGACGTACGTTTATAATATACAGGTTTAAACAAAAAGATGTTTTTTACCACAAGTTTAAGACACTGAGGAGTGGAAAAACCGTATATTGTTCTAAATTAAGTTTTATTTATCAAGTCACAACTATTCTTAACAGTTTTGTTCTTGGTTCACCTCGATATATTTATTTTTGTAAAAAATATGGATTTTTTAAAAAAATTGCAATTTCCAATATTTTTCTGTATGAAGAACTAAGGTTGCTATGGTCCATCCATAGGCTATGGAGGATGACAGTGACAGTTTTGTTGAATCATCCTATACTTGGGCATGTCATACACGGCTTTCAAAGCTATCAAATTGTTTTTTGCAAATTAATGTTTAAATTTTGAGGTGTCTTCCTACTTTAAAAAATGGATATGTCTCCGAATGATGTTGCCAGAGCCATTAATTTAATCCAGGATGGACGGTCACAGTATTACGTGGCAAGTGTTTTAAACGTCACAAGAAGTAAAGTACAAAGGGCAACATCAGTCGGAGACATTTTTAAAAGTAAGAAGACACCTCAAAATTAACACATTAATTTACAAAAAACAATTTGGTAGCTTTTGAAAGCTGTATATGACATGTCCAAGTATGGGATGATTCAACAAAACTGTCACTGTCATCCTCCATAGGCTATGGATGGCCCATAGCAACCTTAGTTCTTCATACAGGAAAAATATTGGAAATTGCAATGTTTTTTAAAAAAAATCCATATTTTCCACAAAAATAAATAAATCGAGTTGAACCAAAAACCAACCTGTTAAGAATAGATGTGACTTGATAAATAAAACTTAATTTAGAACAATATACGGTTTTGCCACTCTACAGAGTATCTTAAACTTATGGTAAAAAACATATTTTTGTTTAAACCTGTATATTATAAACGTACGTCTATTTTTTAGTAATTTTTTAAAATATGAGCGATTGTCCATTAATTTATCTACAATATTCTTTAATATTCGTTTAAATCCGACATCAAATAAAAAAGTTATTTGCGATTGAAATTCATCGAAAATTTGTGTGAATCGATTATTTTGCCTGTGAGTGTATATAACAAAGAGAATATATTTTATATATTTATATAAGAAATTTAAATTTCTTTAAAAAAAATTGATTGTTTAAAAGCAAGAATATATAATTTTTGAAATAAGGCATGATGCAGCAATATTTACTTAATTCAAGAAAATTTATTTTCTTTAACCAAATAGTTGGTTCCTTAAAAGCAAGAATATGTTCTCTTAAAAATAAATTAGTGGTATTCTTAAATAAAAAAGAACTTAATTCAAGAATAAATTTTCTTAAAACAAAAACATGTGATATTGAATCAAGGCAATAATTTTCTTAAATCAGGATGTTTTCTATAACCCAATATTTTTTTTAATTAATAGATACAAGATTTAAAATTTTATATTATTAATTACAAAATAATATTTATTTTAAAACAATGCAAGAAGTATCGGTAAAAATAAAATGTATCTTAATTTTATGCTACTTTTAGCAATGTTTCAAAAAATCTATCATTTTGTATTTAAAATCAATAAAATTTAAAAAAATGATACGTCTATTAACTAAAAACTATTTATTTTATTAATAGAAACATCTTTATATTTAGAAATAAAATTTAAAATAAAAATACGTTTAAACCCTTGAAGGGGGGTGGAGTAATTTTAAATATCCTGTAATTTTTTAAGGATTGTTGTCTCATCTTATAAAACTTTATATTTAAATACTTACGGATTATTCAAAATTAAGCCAAACTTACTGAAGGGCCAAAGTATATAGGTGGTGCGGTAAGCAAAAAAATTTAGGTTAGAAAATAAAAAACAAACGTTGAACAAACACATTTATTTTGTTTTTAATACAAGGAAAATCTAAAATGTATACATTATTATAAATTAACGTAGGGAACTTAATCATTATTATCGACATATTTTTCATTTTACATATTTTTTAATATTTTAGGCATAGTAGAAAATTAATTGCCAATTTTATAAAATAATTTAGGGATATTGCCAATGAACTCCACCCTATATAAATCAAAATTAATGTTATAACCCAAAGTGTCTAATAAAATTACTTCTAAAACAAAATCTTTTTAAATGTCATAAAATAAATTAAGTTTATAAATTAAAATTATAGAGCTATACAAATCAGAGTGTTAAACACATAAGATATTTTAGTTATCACTGCAAAACCTATTTATTTATGAATAAAATAATTTTAAGGCATCCTTATGCACATTAGTAATTCTCTTAATTTTCTTAAAACAAAAACATGTGATATTGAATCAAGGCAATAATTTTTTTAAATCAGGATGTTTTCTATAACCCAATATTTTTTTTAATTAATAGATACAAGATTTCAAATTTTATATTATTAATTACAAAATAATATTTATTTTAAAACAATGCAAGAAGTATCGGTAAAAATAAAATGTATCTTAATTTTATGCTACTTTTAGCAATGTTTCAAAAAATCTATCATTTTGTATTTAAAATCAATAAAATTTTAAAAAATGATACGTCCATTAACTAAAAATTATTTATTTTAATAATAGAAACATCTTTATATTTAGAAATAAAATTTAAAATAAAAAAACGTCTAAACACTTGAAGGGGGCTGGAGTAATTTTAAATATCCTGTAATTTTTTAAGGATCGTTGTCTAATCTTAAACAAAACTTTATGAACTTACTGAAGGGCCAAAGTATACGTTGTATCGTTTCTAGGTGGTGCAGTAAGCAAAAAAAATTGAGTTAGAAAATAAAAAAACAAACGTTGAACAAACACATTTATTTTTTTTTATACAAGAAAAATCTGAAATGTATACATTATTATTAATTAACGTAGGGAACTTATCATTATTATCGACATATTTTTCATTTTAAATAATTTGTAATATTTTAGGCATAGTAGAAAAGCAATTACCAATTTTATAAAATAATTTAGGACTATTGCCAATGAACTCCAAGCTATATGAATTAAAATTAATGTTATACCATTGAGTAAAGAAAAACACACTTTACTCAATGGTTATACCCCAACGTGTCTAATAAAATTACTTCTAAAACAAAATCTTTTTAAATGTCATAAAATAAATTAAGTTTATAAATTAAAATTATAGAGCCATACAAATCAGAGTGTTAAACACATAAGATATTTTGGTTATCACTGCAAAACCTATTTATTTATGAATAAAATAATTTTAAGGCATCCTTAATGCACATTAGTAAATATTTAAACAATAAACCTACCTACCTACACGTAAATGCGACGCTAAATTTAAAAAAGGGTGGTATATCAATAACAACTTACTTACCTTCAATTTTTTTTATAATTTCCTTCGATGATTCTAATATTTTTTTAATGAAATACGCCCTCTTCCTCACAAAGATAAATTTCAGAGGAACGTGTCGGCATCTCCACTCCTACACGATTTCAAAAATATGTATTCTTGGCAAAAGAAAATACTGTTTATTAAAACGAATAAAAAAATTTAGGAATATCTAATTCTTAATAAAAAAAATTAAACAAATAAAAAAAAATAAGAATTTCTTATTCTTGATATAAAAAATATTAACAATTGTACCAGAAACCAACTAAGATTTCCTTCAAGAATATTTAATATTTGGATTGAACATGCAACTTTTTAAAACAAAAAATGTTTCTTAATATTAGAATATTTCCAAAACTACAAAATTCTTTTTTAAAGAAGAAATTATTTTTAGTTGAAATATATATTCTTATTTTGGGTTTTGGGTTTTTGTGTATGACCCAGTGAATGTTTTGTGTAAACATATTTTTGTTGGAAAACCTTTTAGACAAAAAATTACTGATTTGGATAATTTATTGTTGTAGCAATCCAACAATTTGATTTATTGGACATTGGGACAAGCCGAACAATCCCTTCTCACCGTAGTTGATACCGCTCAACCGGCAATTGTTTTATTCAGCGGTCCAATTTCCACAATTGATAAAATTGTCTGCAGAAGTTTGGATCTAGTCGAGGATAAAGTCCCATCCATCAACCTTCCTCCACAAATGGTAATAAAATCAAAATTACGCTTTATACACTGTTCAAAATTTCATGACCATTTTAAAACCAAATTAACACCATACATGGTCTATATCGATAAAAACCAAAATGGTGTTAAATATGGTCCAGTGTAAATTCAAATACTAAAATGGTGTAAATTTAACTTTCACACAGTATAAAAATAAATTTTACCTGGTGTAAATTGAACTCCTTTTCAGTGTTAAATATTATGTGTTTTTGGTCAAATTAAATCATACTACACAGAAAAAAAGGAAAAAAAGGAAACAGGAAGTTCCTTGACGCATTACAAGTATATTACCAGTGGTATTATTTCAGAAAATTGAACCTTCAACTCGCTAGAGATAATGTTTTTAGTGCGTTCCACTAACGTAAAATACTTCAAATATTGACAGCTGTTTCCACCTATTTAAGGTCTCTTTAGTATCGAACAACTTGCAGTGTCACACCAAAGCAAAGGACTACCTGAGCTTATAAACTCTTCATGTAAGTCAACAGAAGCGAGGTTTAAGAACTTCACGTGATCCACACCGCCTTTGCCGCGATCGGTACACACTATGTAACCGGAAATGCACGGCAAATTGTTTTAATCGTTTTAACAGAGTGCTTTAGGTTGAAGTAACTTTTATTTTACAAACAACATATTTAGTAAACTGAACCATACAGCGGGTTGGTTTCACTAAAGTTTTCTGGGTTAATTTAACCAATTTAAAAAAAATAAAATAACTATCTGGTTTAGTACCGTCAAACTAATCTTTGTTTATATTAACCTTCCCATAGTTGATTTAAATAAATACTTATGGTTCAACTAAATTAATATAGTAAAATGAACTATTCCTTTTTTTCTGTGTAGGTGCACTTCTCAAATATTTTTAGATAAACACCGTTTTGATGTTTGCTGTATAAAACATTTTCAACCATAATTCATGGTGTTATATTAATACCACTTGGTGTTGGATTTTGACACCATTTTAAGATTACTCTTCACACCACAGATATTTTAAACAGTGTACAAGCTATATTATTATTTTTTAGATATACTGGAACACCAAGCAATACGTGTCAAATGTTGGTACTCAAATCGTTCGTCCTGTTTTGAAAAGGGCCGATTCGATGAAACAAATCGGAAATACAGTCCTGGCCAGTAAATACACTGCGTTTGCTGCTGATACATTGGATGGAGCTTTAAATGTGGCTGATAAATATGTTGACAAATATTTGCCGGCCGATGATGATCAAATGAATGATGGTACGTATCCTTCAACCTTGATAGCAAATTTTCTTTCCAGAATTTCAATTAATTTCGTTAGCAATATATAATAATAATAAAAAATCTTATTAAGTCGGAAAAAGTCTGAATAAGTTTTAGTAAGTCAGACTAATAGCAAGACTTTTAGCAGAGAAATGGTAGGTAGGGTAAAGTGGACAGTTATCGGACACTTTATAGTTATTGGACAAGTCAAATTATTAGATGACGCTGCATACAATTATAACTATCTCAGTCGGTAATAATATATTTATTTATTTTGGGTCCAATATAGGACAAAAAAGTTCGCACGTTACTTTGGTGGTAAGATTTTTGTTTTTTTGTTAAGAGCAGGGCTGTATTTGAATTACAATAAAAAATATTTCTAAAAAGTGTCCAGATCAGTGTTTGGAATAAATGTGTTCCTCATGGTTTAAACATAGTCACTTTAATGCGTTTTAATTTTAATTCTGAAAACAAACAGTAAAATGGGCAGTGTCCAATTACTGGTTGGTAAAAAATGTAAATTTCTATTATTGGACATATGTCCAATATCATACTCTATTTGTATAAGTTAAGCAGTTTTTGAGATATAGTCAATTCCATATTATATGTAAAATTGATTATATTTCAAAAACTGTTCTACTTTTATAACTTTTGACGACATTTTCGGATTCAGCGAATAATATTTCATAGGAATTGACTTCTAAATGTCCTGGATACAAATTGCTGTTAACGAGAATTATTAGTGGCTGCTTTTTCGCTATGACATTTTTGACTAATTCATTTTTAGAATAACAGTGATTTAAATACAGTGCATTATAGAGAACATAAAAAACGAATGGCAACAAAATTAATAAATTCGGAAAATACTTTTTACATACCACCCGAAAAAATATTAGATATAAATCATCCTGTTCCGGCCTAAACATTATAAATGCTTCACAAACTAGAGATACCACACTTAATGATATTTGCAACAAACTATTTCAGAAGTCACACCAAGGAATTAGTAGTTACCTTCAGAATCTAGAAAAGGGATGAGGAATCCTAGAAAGAAATATATGAATTATAAGATATTTACAAAAACGAAATAAAAAAATTACCTAAAACAGCAATATATCTTTAAAAAATATTTAACAATTTATGTTATTTGATGTAAAATTGTTATGTTTATATAAAAATTGTATGTCCAATAACTATGGTCCACGTGTCCAATTACTATATAAAATGTCCAATTTTCCATTTTTGCATGTTTTTATAAAACTATTATTAAAAATTCAAATATTTAAACACACAAACTATACTTTTATTTATTTATAAGGAAAAAACTAAAATCTTTAAAAAACGTCATATACAATTTTTAAATAAATAACTCTTCAAGTCTTATTCAGAGTTTTTAAGAGAAAGAAAAAGTTTCAAGACTTATATTAAAACTTAAAAAAAAAATTCACATGGGTGCTACCACCTTAAACTTGATAGAAACTTGCTATCTGGGATACTTCATAATTAATAACGATATTTTTAGTTGGTAAATTGGCTGAAGGTCCAACAGGAAAGGCCATCAACACCATGCATCACGTGGACAGATTCTCCAGAAAACTCAAAAGAAGATTAACCCAAAGAACTCTTGCCGAAGTAAAAGCCCTTAAGGAACACAGTGCCGAAGCCGTACATGTCTTAATATATGTTGCTGAATTGGTAAAATGTGTGTCAATAACAATTATAATTATGCTAATATAATATTGTAGATTGCAACTGATCCGAAACTGGCCTTCCAAAAAGGAAAAGAGTTGTGGTTGTCCTTGAGCAAAGACGAACCCGAGAATCAAGCAAGACCAGACAATTTGGAACAATTGATTGTAATGCTATCCAGAGAGTCTGCTAGAAGAATGGTCCACCTCATAAACTTCACCAGCCACCTTGTTACAAAATTACCAAAACAACTAAGCAACACCATTTTACACCTGGCCAATAAAGTTATAACTCTTACAGACTCCATGGTTAAAGTAAGTTTTTTCATTTAGGTAGCGGGCGTTTCAAGGCAAGCGGTACAAAAATATCAATGTTGGATTTTTTTATATTAGCGACGTACAACAGTACAAAACAAAATCAAACCAATCATGCTAAATTTTGAAAGATCTGGTGTACACCCAAGTAGCAAAATAGGTTTTTTTAAAGGTTGGTTAAAACCTATTTGCTAGTAACAGCAGCTATAAAGCTTCCATAAAACCATCATAGGGCTGAAAAGGATCGATGTCCTTACTAGCAATTTGTGTGTCAGCCACAAAGCAACTTTGCTTTATTGTATTACTCCTAAGGCACACCTTTTAATGATGCAATTAGATTCTTACAAGCTTCTTAAAACCTTCCTAAAAAGCATCCTAAGAACATTTTAAGAATACGTTTTTGGAATGTTCCTAGAAGGTTTCTTATGGAGCTTCTAGGAAGCTTTTGAGAATATTTCCAAATACGTCAGATACCCACGTTCTAATATATTGTATTCTATATTCGTAAAATTCTTCAGGAGACGACAAATACGCCTCACTGTCATAATATGAGAGTGAAATGTATTTGTCGTCCCCCTAAAAAATTTTGCGGCATATTAATATATATTTATTTAAAAATATTAAATAAACAATTTAACCTCTAAACCATAAGTTGTATGACATTATTTCATAAAAAGTAAAATTGGAAAATTTCGTGGGATAAGTCAGATTAGATTGAAGTTGAAGATAGTTGGGATTATTATACCTAAAAATGTTAATTCAGAAATAAAAAATCGCTTATGCTATATTTTTATTAAGCATGTTCTTTAGAAGAAATATAGCTTGATCCTAAGAATATTCTCACTGGAAGGTTTAAAAAACATTCTTAGAATATAGTGTGCTATCAGCTTAGCACAAAGTAGAGCTGCAATAAAATAAAAAGCATGTTTTCATTTATAAAGCTTGCTACTTGGGTTAGAACTTAAACCAAGTGATTGTCATGACCTTCTTCCTCATTCCATTAAGACTTTTTTAGAGACCGAAACAAACGGTTTTAAAATTTGATATTTTTGTTGTACACTTGGCGTGAAATGCCTAATAGGTCTGTCTCATTTACACCATTCCTATTACACCAAAATTGGCTTATACATTTACCCCATGCAAAAATTATGTCCAAACAAATTTATACTTCATATAAAATGAGGCAGATCAAAAGTATTGTACTAATTCATTTTTGATTTATTAGACAGTCCATTTAGAAGGTGCACAAAAAACTCTAATGGATATTGTTACAATTAATATTCATTATATGGCAATTGCTCTTAGGGGTCTAAATAATTATATCAGCCAATTATTGGTAATGTAACATCATCCTGATCGTTTCAAAATCTTATTATGTATGTTTAAGGATCAAGTAGCAGAATCCACAGAAAAAGCGGAACAATTGAAGGCTGGTCTTTCCGTCCCACAAATTAAGGTCCAGCTTAAAGCTGCCCAACACAGAAACTCAGTGAACAAAAACACAAATGCAGTAAAACCCACCAACGGAGTTGAAAACAACTCAAACTAATTACTTATTTATAAATTTATTTTAGTGTTAAAATATTACTTTTAAATTACTCTGAACTTGGTAGTTTTATATTTAAACCAGTTTTTTTGTTCGACTGGTTAGATTTTTAAGTTCATCCATCCTGGGATTTGTTTTTAACAATAAGATATTAATAAAACACATTTTAAGTAAAGATATTTTATTTGTATGTACAAATGTATACAATCATTCAATTTGTAAATTTGAAGAATAAATACACTACGATAGTTCGAATTACTAACATTGAGTACGCCCACCTATATTACCTAATTTTGGGCTGATTTCAAAAATGCCACTCGTTTTGCTCCAGGACGTCTATAGGATTCGAAATAATTGCGTAATAAAATGCTCTGCCCAATTATCTCAAAATGTAAGTTTTTTGTTAATATTTTGATTATTTATTAAATTATTTTGCCCTAAATCTATTTTGGATGTTCAGTATATTTTTGACGTTTTTTGTCAAAAATATACAGGGACTCCTTACAAAGTCATCGGTAGGTAAATGTCAAATAGATTTTTTTTTCATTGTGCTCTTGTTTATTAATAACTTAATTAAGTCGTATCAACATTTTATATCGAATTGAAGTATAAAGGCGCCTTTATCTACTTTATCGTTCAAGCACATTAAAGTGCATCTATTAATTTTTGACATTTAAAATTTAAACTTTAAATTGTATTTTTACTTGAAAGTGATTTTAAGAACCAAAAATGAAAAAAGAGCAGGAAAGGGAAGTGGTAATGGAAGTGGCAGAGAAAGAGAAACGAGACGAACATTTATGTCGTCGTTGTAAATTTGTTTTGTTTTTGTTGCGGTACCTTTACGCCCAAGAAAAACCAACGCAATATTCCATTACAAAATTTTATGATATATACCTACTTCTTTAATTTTGCAGGAATATTAAATGGACCTGATATACGACGTTTAATGAAAGATGAAGCATTCAAAAATGCTCTCAAAGTTGACGAGCTTGTTGCATATGGCAGTGTTAAAGCTGTCATTAAAAATGTTCTTGGTTCATATCGGGCCTAAAATTGGCGCCAATTCATTGAAAAAATGATCTCCGTTTTGTAAAGAATTAGCGTTAATATGTCATTTAAAATACATTTTCTTTTTTTTTATCCTGATAAATTTGCCGAACTGATGAACATGGAGAACGATTTCACCAAGTAACTGCAAATCTAGAGCATTGGTAGATATCTATGGGTATGGCGGAAAGAAGTTGGATTCATTGCTAGGAGACATTTGCAGGAATTTGCAGCCAAAGATGTACGACGATGATGAGGATTAAGCACAATAATACTATAATTCAATTCGATATTTGATACGATTTAATAAATTTAAGGTAGAAAAAAGCAAAATTATGCAAAGCATTAATTTTCGTGGGCCTAATTTGGATAAAAAATACCGAAACTTGTTTACTTTGTTTCCCTTTCAATTCAAAAATGTCATATTGTTAAGACATTCAAGATAAATTTAATCCAAAATAATTTAATAAATAATTAAAATACTAACAAAAAATCTTACATTTTGAGGTGATTGAGCAGAGCATTTTATTACGAAATTATTTTAAATCCTAGACGTCCTAGAGAAAAAAAATGACATTTTTGAAATCAGCGGCCCAAAATTAGTTAAACTAAGCTGGAGTACTCAATGTTAGGAAAAAAAAGTTTCTAAAACTATCATAGTGATATTAACAGAGTTTATTTATTAATTAAATAAAGGATGAAATTAAATTATTCTTGATATGGCAATTTTATACTATCTAAATTAGAGGTGTTTAAAATACTTAAACCTAAATTAATAAATAAAATAAAAAAATAATTAACCTAGATCATTTAAGTTTATATCACTTTTACTAGAATTACGTTCCCTTTTTTCTATGGTTTAATTGAAAGAGCTGTTTACAATCGATTTGTAATCTCTAACTATTTTACTCACATGCAATACAGGCTGGTAACATCACATTTATGGTTTTGACGTTTATATTAAAGGGGCTAAACTACACGTATTTTCAACAGCCCTCTCCTTCAAACCATTATTGTCAAAACAATACAATCGCAATACAAACTATTACGAAAGAGTCTCTTAAATCAGTTCGGCCACGTACTCAGGTTGCCCGTCGTGGTTAATCGTCAGTTCGGATCCTTTGAAATGCGCCCCAAACGTGTCGTAGTCATTGGAGCTCGCATTTAACTTCTCTGGCACTTGAAATGTCGACCCTTGGAAACCCATAGCGGCCTCGTAAAACTGCAACATAATACCTAGCTTAAGCTAAAGCAAACTCAATTGTGTCTTGCAAGATACATTATTTTGTTTTCTAGATTCAACAGAGAGGTAGAAACCCGACCCTGTCGAATGGCGCAGTCATTTATGTCTGTAGAAATTATTGAAAAAGGGTTCAGTCCAATGGTGCAGCAACTTCGGATTCCTATTCTCTTCAGAGACATAGAAACTCAAGCTTTTCGAATTTTACTGGCAATGATTTTCGTTATGTCCCCGAGAATTATACAAAAACAGCGCAATGCAATATCGCAACGGTTTCGACTTCTCTTTACTCTACCAAGTTATAGAAACTGGAGTCTCTCTAATACTGTTTTAGTCAATATTTCTGAGGGTATAAAAAGAGGGTGTAATTCAATATTGCAAGAAGTTTTGATCTTTTGATGGATGCAAGTAGTTTGAATATTCTCATTTCTGCATATGATTTTGTTGAAAATAGTTCCTTTCTTTGGTTCCTTTGTCTGATTTTTATTTACCGTAACAACTCAGGTATTTAAAGCACAAAGGATATGATGTAATAGTTATTTATGTATTAAGGGCATAATAAGGTTTTTATGGTCCGAGGCGCTATTTCGAGCCCGAGCGCGTTAGCGTTATGCCAGCAATGCATACAAAACTTTATGCACGATTAATATATTATTATTTTTAATATATTATTGTTTTTAAAGACGTTTACGTCAAAGAATTTTTGTTATAATTGTCATATTATAAAGTCAACTGACATCAGTCAGTTTTAAAGTTTAAAGATGAATGAAATTGAGGAAGCAGCTGAAAAGGCGAAAAATTGCGGCCTGATGCCGGAAAAATCAAAATCTTTATACGAAAAAACTTACTTCGAATATATCAAATGGTGTAACATTGTTGTTTTTAATTTTTGACGTTTCATTATAGCCCGCTGGGTCATAATAACGCCCGCGGGCTATAAAAAGACGTTTACGTCAAAGAATTTTTGTTATAATTGTCATATTATAATGTCATCGTGCATAAAGTATATTTATGTATTATATAAAGTACCTTTGTATTAAAAATTTCAGAGATTATGTTGAAAAAATTATCGATATGCTATTAAACTTTAAAAATTTAGTAATGAGGTCTGTTGGTAGACCCTGCACATCTCCACTGGTAGTTTTATGTAAGTACAGCAATTTTTAAATCAGGTTGATCAAAAAGTACACACCAGTGCAGGTTATTGTAGCATCTACGAACAAATGAATTAATGGCCCATTGGCAATTATTCCTTTAGGAAAAATATTCAACACAGCTTAATTAATTAATAAAATGAAATTCGGGTCGTATATAGTTTTTTTCAAGCATAAAATAATTTTTATATTATACTGTGGAGAGTATTGAAACGCTCGACTGACGAATACAACTCTATACCATGGCGAGGGTTTAGAAAACTGTATTCAAACGTGGCGTCATCCAATACACTTCTATATTTTTCCGTTTGCTGTGTAACATTCGTAAGTTAGCCCTGATAGCAAAATTTGATTCTAAGAATCTTCTAAGAAGATATGACCCGGAATAATGGAATATTCTTAGAACCTTCCCTTATTGCTAAGAATGTTCTTAGGGACTTTTAAAACATTCAATAATGATGCAATTCGATTCTTAGAAGCTTCTTAAAACCTTCCTAAAAAGCATTCTAAGAACATTTTAAGAATATGTTTTTGGAATGTTCTTAAAAGGTTTCTTATGGAGCTTCTAGGAAGCTTTTGAGAATATTTCCATACCCACGTTCTAATATGTTGGATTCTACATTCGTAAAATTCTTCAGGAGGCGACAAATAGGCCTCACTATCATAATATGACAGTGAAATGTATTTGTCGTCCCCTTAAAAAATTTTGCGACATATTAATATATATTTATTTAAAAATATTAAATAAACAATTTAACCATAAGTTGTATGACATTATTTCATAAAAAGTAAAATTGGAAAATTTTGTGGGATAAGTCAGATTAGATTGAAGTTGAAGATAGTTAGGATTATTATACATAATAATGTTAATTCAGATATAAAAAATCGGTATAAAAATTAATAAATATTTATTTTTAACATAAAATAAAATATAATTAAACAAAATATTTCCTTATAAAATAATTCTTCATAAAAGAAAAAACTAAATAGTTCTTCATAAAAAAACATTTTTCATTGTATTTAAGTTGGATAGAAGATTTTATGTAAAAGCCGGATAATTTAGATACCTATAGTAAAAGTATTTTTGTTATCGAATATTGTTTTAATTTAACAAATAACTATAAAAAAATATTTTGGGTTGTGTTTTTTACTTAGTATTTAATACTAAGTATAGGTACCTTTATACGTAGATTATGGTATATTTTACTATTATATAGGTATACCCAACTGAACTGAATATGCTTAACAGAATGTTCCAGGAATATTCCTAAATGAACTTTCTATAGCAATTACTTTCTCAACATTATAAGCATATGTTTAGAGTGGATTAATTTTTACCACTAAACTTTGCACCTTCTAAGAACCTGCCTATAGGCCGGTGAGAATATTCTTAGGATTATGCTATATTTCTTTTAAGCATGTTCTTTAGAAGAAATATAGCATGATCCTAAGAATATTCTCACTGGAAGGTTTAAAAAATATTCTTAGAACATGACTAGAAGAAATATAGCATGATCCTAAGAATATTCCTACTGGAAGGTTTAAAAAACATTCTTAGAATAAACTTTGCTATCAGGGAGTCTGGTGTAAACTAAATAAAAGGTACACTTACGTTGGGGGCACCTCTAAGTGAACTATGAGCACTATCAGAATGATGGGGAACCCCCGACAGTGTCGCGTAATCAGCGAGGTCATCACCCATGGACAATGCTGCCATATGGGACGAACCTCTTCTGTTCGGGTGTTGTATGGTTGCGTATGTATTGTCATCCTGAAAATTACAATTTAAACATGTAAAAATTGAATCATTTTATCATCTTACTGGCACAAAATCATCACTACCGCGTCTGTTTATGGCACCATGTTCAGGTTCGTTAAAAACTTGCATTGTCAGTTCTTGTTCTTCGTAGATTTTCAGTTTTCTGAAATGAGAGATGTAAATTATTGTGTTGTAATACATTTAGTAAACTCACTGTTCAATCCATAGTGGATTCTCTGTAGTGTTGAGATCATCAATGATAGCTTTTTTAATCAAAGCATCCTTCTTCTTGAGGTCTGTGGGCGATATGACCCAGTGCCTCAAACAGCAACACACAATAACGAAAAAAATTATTCCAACGAATAGCACTATTAGTAAGGCTATAAGCGCTACCAGTGCAGGATCAAAAGTTTCCTCTTTTTCCGTAGCAAACGCGGGCACAACATTCTCAATAGCGAATCCAGCGTAATAATCCTTGAGGAAATCGTATTTGGAATCTATCGTTTTAAGGACCTCAGGTACAGGTAAAATGGTGCGGGATTTCGGGTCCACCGCGAGAATGTACAAGTCGGTCCATTCCTCATTCTTAGATCCAATATCGTTGACATGATACCTGATCTCGTCGATTATAATCAAGCTTTGAGTGGCGTTCCCCAATTCGGCAATAATTTCATGCCTTTCACTGTTTACTTCTTCTGGAGGTCTTGATAGAATAATTCTTATGAGTTGTTCCGGCTCGAAAATCCACACGTATACCTGAGCTAACGATTCCCTTTCCGGATATGCGTTTTCCTTAGCAATAACATCCACGATGAATCGGTGTTGGTTGTTCTCCGCTAAGTAGTTGGCAGTGAAAATTTGACCACTTTGAGATATGTTGAACGGTGAAGGAATGATCGAACCGGAACTAGCGTTGGAACCATACTTGTACAGATTTGAAGCCTTGACGTAGTACGTCAAAGACCCGTTGTTACCGTTGTCTGGATCCACAGCAGTGACATTCACAACGAACTCGTTTATGTTAGCCATAGCATTAACAGCGGTGTTGTAGACGTTTTGTTTGAACCGTGGTGGATTATCGTTAACATCCCTGATTGTTACAGAAACCTTAGCAATACTACTATCGTGCATAACCTCCTCTTCACTTATCTTGCTCTTATCTGCGTCGGTTAAGTAGAAGTCTGGGTCGTTATTCGCCAAGATAAGCAAAAAGTATTCATCCTTTTCCTCCCTATCAAACGATTTACTCGTGTACAAGCTTCCCTCGGATTTATCCAATCTGAAGGCACCATCTTCATTACCGCCCAGTATGTAATAGTAAACTTTAGCGTGCGTTCCCTCGTCGCGATCTAAGGCTTTAACCTGACCTATTCGGATATCTTTCGGGCTGTTTTCCGTCACGAAAAAGTGGTAAGGGTTCGTAGTCTGCGTGTCTGGAAACTCAGGTCGGTTGTCGTTAGCGTCCACCAGCAAAATCGTCAGGTGTCTGAGGGATTCGAACCATTTGGGCGAGCCGTGATCTCTCGCAACTAAAGTTAACTAAAAAAAAAAAAATATTAAGTCAGGTTTGCATGCTTATATAAATAATACTTACTTCAAATTTGGGTTGCGTTTCTCTATCCAAGGTTACTTTGGTTTTAAGTTCTCCAGTGTTAGCGTTTACAGAGAATTCTTTTGTTTCTTGGACATTTTCATCCTCAACTTTAAGGTGGTAGGTTATCCTGCCGTTTTCGCCATCGTCTTTGTCGGTGGCTTTGACTGTCATCACCAAATACCCTTCAAGTGCTGTACTCTACAATAAAAATAACATCATCATGTTTGTTGAATGTAAAGAAACATTGTTTAATAATAATAATATTTACCTCAGTGACCTCTATTGTTGCATTGGGTAAGGCTGGCATAATAAAGGTGGGTTTGTGATCATTAACATTGATGACTTGCACGTAAACTATAGCTTTGTCGGTGTTATGTCCATTACCGCCCCCATCTCTAGCTTCAACGACCAGTTTGAACTTTTTCGTCTGTCCTAATAAAGATTTGTGTGGATATAAAATACCGGTCTCGACACCCATTAAAAATATATCTGAAAGTAAGTTGCTGGTTAGTATATTATTACATTAACTTATATTGGGCCTTCCATCTCAAAGTGACCACGTCGTTATTTTTTAACGAATTTTTTTTATAACTATAAAATAATTTCGTTAAAAAACAACTTCTCTACCAAATTTACGAGTGGCATTTTGTCTTGAAAATGCAATAACTTGGCCAAAAATGTTTCGATCGTTTATTTTTTTTAATTGTAGGTTAACTACGGTTTCGCGAAAGGATCGAACGGTCGATTTGCAAGGGTTCAAGAAATCGATTGAAACTTTTTTACCTTATTTCTACATCTAAACAAAAAATCTTGTCCATTGACAACTTTGTTTTTATTTTTTCATTCACTGTGTTAAAAATTAAGAAATTTCATTTTTTTAATAACTTTTTTTTCAAAACGTATCGATTTGAAATTTGGACAAAATCAAGATCTTACTAATGACAATTAAACCATGAAAAAATGTTGTTTAAATTTTAACGTATTTAACAATTTTTAAAGGGAAAATATTCAAGGAAGCAACTTTGTTTTATAAATTTGAGTATAACACGTTAAAGTATTGATATTTGATATATTAACTTTTTTATGAAAATGATGTTTCTGTGGCCAGGATCAGTTTTGAATTAGCAGTAGCAGTATTCATAAATGTTTAGTTTGGTACATTTTGTCATTTTTATACAAATATTGTTGTATCTTTTATTAATAATTATGTATAGCATAACACATAAATGACGTTGTGGCTTTACGGCGCTTTAGTCACGGGCTGAAGTTAGTTTTAAGTTAATTGACAGTTGTCAAATGTCATACAATCGTTAAAATAAACTGCCTTTCTTGTAAAATAATATTAAATGTGAAAATTATTTTTTTATCTCAATAAAAAAATACAAAAGTATTAAATAGTTTCTCAACGCCAATATTTGATAAGTTTATATGAACATTGTACTGACCTTTTAATTTCGCCGGCAGTAAACTATATCTTAAATTCGGGCACGGACTCTACTGTAAAGTCCTCATAAAACATTTCCTTTACTTTCACTGTGAAAAACTGTCAATTTTCAATATAAATTTCGATTTATAACCTTTATAATTGTGTTTATAAAATGTAAAAATGTGACATTTGACAGTTTCCCCTGTTGTTTCATAGATGGCGCTCTATACAAATTTTTTATTTAAATCATTTTAAGATAATAATAAGTATTTGTCGTAAAAAAAGTATAGTATGCACCTCGTTTATAAACTTTTCTATACACTCATTAATTTAAGCACTCGCTCGCAAGTTCGCTCGCGCCTAAATTAAATTCGTGTATAAAATGGCGTTTATCAAACTTGATACATAATATAGGTACTATTAAATAATGACAGATTGATGGTAACCATGGATACTGTCACATTAAACCACATGTAGAATTTCACAGGTTTTTTGATAAAAAATATTTTTGAAAATATTAGAAATTGTTAAATGTATCTGAAATTTTAACTTTAGAAAATAGTTATTATAATACCAATTGAAAGATTCTTGTTGTTCTATTTGATTATGTTAAAACATACAGGGTTTTACATTTATATTGTTTGAAGTTTGCCTAATGTCATGTGGTTTTTCTTAAGGTATTTGTTGAAAAACCTTTAAAAAATTAAATTATTTAAACAATGTTTTAATATTCCAAAAATCCCAACCCCATGTCAGCAAACATAATAACAAACAAATTAGAGACTATTTTTGATTAACGTGCATTAAGCAAAATTTTAACGAAAAAAATTAATCTTGAAAACTATTGGTATAGTCTAAATCAAATTGCATATGCTATTAATTCAAATCCATATCGTTTGCGTTTCTCCAGAAACACCCTGTATAGCATTATATTAAATATTAAAAAATGCAAAATAACTAATTACAAAAAATAGAATAACAACTGAATAAAAATTATAGATATATCTAAATAGCCGATTGCAACATAAAAAATAAAGTCTTTATTCTAATTTATTTATTGGGTAAACATTACTTTCCTCAGTTTGGAATTAAAATTTATTGAGTAAAAACTAAATTGAAGCTTGGTTGTGGAGCAAAAAATAAAATAGTAGGTTATAATTTCTAACTTGCTGACACTGTCTATAATTATTATTTAGTTTATTCATTTTAATAAATTAATGTTTTGAGTTTATAGTACACTTATAAATTTATTTGATGTCGGATTTAAACGAATATTAAAGAATATTGTAGATAAATTAATGGACAATCGCTCACATTTTAAAAAATACAAAAAAATAGACGTACGTTTATAATATACAGGTTTAAACAAAAAGATGTTTTTTACCATAAGTTTAAGAGAGTCTGTAGAGTGGCAAAACCGTATATTGTTCTAAATTAAGTTTTATTTATCAAGTCACATCTATTCTTAGCAGTTTTGTTTTTGGTTCACCTCGATATATTTATTTTTGTGGAAAATATGGATTTTTTTAAAAAACATTGCAATTTCCAATTATTTTCTGTATGAAGAACTAAGGTTGCTATGGTCCATACATAGGCTATGGGGAATGACAGTGACAGTTGTTGAATTATCCCATACTTGGACATGTCATACACGGCTTTCAAAAGCTATCAAATTGTTTTTTGCAAATTAATGTTTAAATTTTAAGGTGTCTTCTTACTATATAAAATGGATGTCTCCGACTGATGTTGCCAGAGCTATTAATTTAATCCACGATGGACGGTCACAGTATTACGTGGCAAGTGTTTTAAACGTCATAATAAGTAAAGTACAAAGGGCAACATCAGTCGGAGACATTTTTAAAATTAAGAAGACACCTCAAAATTAACACATTAATTTACAAAAAACAATTTGATAGCTTTTGAAAGTTGTATATGACATGTCCAAGTATGGGATGATTCAACAACTGTCACTGTCATCCTCCATAGGCTATGGATAGACCATAGCAACCTTAGTTCTTCATACAGAAAAATATTGGAAATTGCAATGTTTTTTTTTTAATCCATATTTTCCACAAAAATAAATATATCAAGGTGAACCAAAAACAAAACTGTTAAAAATAGATGTGACTTGATAATTAAAACTTAATTTAGAACAAAATACGGTTTTGTCACTCTACAGAGTATGGTAAAAAACATCTTTTTGTTTAAACCTGTATACTATAAACGTACGTCTATTTTTTAGTATTTTTTTTAAATGTGATCAATTTTCTATTAATTTATCTACAATATTCTTTAATATTCGTTTAAATCCGACATCAAATAAAAAATTTATTTGCGATTGAGATTCATCGAAAATTTGTGGGGATCGATTATTTTGCACGTGAGTGTATATCAAATAATAGTTAATTATCAGTACTTTTAAATAAAGAGTTTTGCGGGTTTTCGGAATTGTTTCTGTTATACATTAGCCTGGTCGATTTGAGATGAATAGACCCATTATTATTATTACCATTATCATTTCCTTGAATAATACTAAAACGAATGTTGCCATTGATTCCAGCATCATCATCTGTAGCGTTGAGCTGAATAACAGGCATGGGAGGATTCAATCTAACATTTTCAATGACAGTGACGTTATATTCGTGTTGCAAGAACTTTGGCGAATTATCGTTGACATCCTTAATTTTTACGTACAACGGAACGGTAGCCAATCTCTTTAAATTACCCGAAGCGCCGTCTGCGGCGATCACTTGAACAACAGTCTTGTTTATCACCTCGTGGTCCAAAAAGTTTTCGTTGGCGACGGTTACTTCCCCTGTCACGGAGTTAATGTGGAAATTTTCGCTGTGTTCCCCGGTTAGACTGTACGTTATTTTTCCGTAATCGCCGGCGTCCTTATCTACGGCTTTAACCAGTGTAATAAACGTGCCGTTTGGCGAGTTCTCGTCTATGCTGGCGTTGTATTGTGTGGTGGGGAATATCGGGTCGTTGTCGTTGAGATTTATGACTTTCACTTTCACCAGCGCTGTGGCGTTTAGCTGGGGAACTCCAGAATCAAAAGCTATGATGCTGAAGTTCAGCTCTTGCGTCGCCTCATAATCGATTTCCTTCTTAATTTGCACTATGCCTGTTCCGTTGTTGATCTGGAAATACTCGCTTTCAGGTTGAATCATATACCCTGCAATATGCGAATCTTCGTCTTTAGCTACGTAAGTTGCCACTATAGTGCCGACAGGTTGTTCTTCTTTAAGCTCGAGGTTGTAGACAGGGTTCTCAAAACTCCACGGAGGGGAAAACACGGGGGGAGAATCGTTAACGTCTCCAATAGAAATCACCAGTAAACCCTCACCTTGCTGCACATCGGGAGCGGTGATATCCGTCACCAAAACGGTTATCCTCACCACAGCAGCTACATCTCTTAGCAAGGTATTGATAACCGTAACCCTCCCGGTGTTTTTATCCACAGCGAAAAACTCTTTAAACACCTCGTGCTCAACAACTTCATCCCCATGCTTATCCAGCGCGGTTATGGGTTCAGTTGCGGCAAAATTCAGAGCCTCTGATGTGTTCACATCGGGATCCAACGCTATTAAAGTGTGGATTACAGTTCCAATGGGCGCATCCTCCATGACTTCCCCTTTCTGGGTGGTGGGGATGAAGTAGGGGATTTTATTGTTGGTATTTACAACGTTAACTGTCAAGGTTGTAACACCAGTAAGTGGAGGCTCGCCCTTATCGATAGCTGCGATTTCCAAGTTGTACGTGTTTCTCTTGTCGAAGTCGAGTTTTCTTGCTGTGGCCAAGGCACCCGTTGCGTTGTCAATAGAGAAATCGTCGTAGGAACCTTTGACGATCGAGTATTCTATTTCCGAATTCACTCCTGTATCAGCATCTGTAGCGTGTACTTGGAGTATAGTTGTACCTAAAAAATAGTGAGGGTTTAGTAATAGTTTCAAAGAAATGTACAGTGTATTAGGGTTATTTTCAAATTTCTTGTACATGTGCTGTCCCTCAAATTTAATATTTTATAAAAAATTGAGTTTTACGCCAGCGAAATCAATTGGTTTAAGTGTTTTTAGCAACTATATATTACCAAAATTGTACTTTCCCCAACAATACAGAAAAGTAGCTGTCCCAGAAAAGCCAATTTGTGGTAATATTTAAAAGAACAATAACCCCTAAAGTTTCTCCCTTAATTTTGGTCCCCTAGGTCACGTCTCCTGGGTCACAGCTTTTATAAATGACCTTTTGAATTGAGCGCACATTTTTTGGTGCCGCCCCCTTGCGGCAATGTATTTGGTAACGGATTTAAGAAGAAAATGGTGTTTTGAACTATCTTGAAGCCACAACACGTTTTTTGTATTTTTTATAATAGTGTGTCACAGTAATAAAAAGTAGTAAAGGTACCAGTTGGACTTGTTTAATTCTCAAAAGAAAATATCCTAGTAATGGTTTTAAGGGCTAAATTACAAATTTTTGTCTTTAAAACAGTAAAGAGGTTATGTTCTGAAAACATACATTTTTACAAAGAAATAAATTATAATATATTTTTGAAATAATAATAAACTTATAGGAAAGTTTTAAAACCATTTTTTTTCGACCTTCCACCGTTTCTGTTTTTAACAATACGTAATTTAAAATAATGTCCTCCACATTTTTAATAGTAATTTATCTAGTCAATGAATTTTGCCTATGTACTATGCTCCACACCTTCAAAGTCCCACCACGTGACAACGTACGGAACGCAGTCTTTTAAAAATTACAGGTTATGTATCTGTCAAAGTATAGTCAACGAAAGAAAAAATATTTTGTTTAGACGTTAAAAATGTATAAATCTTTATATCTTTATAACATTACAATAACAATGGTTGGTTTAAGAATATAAATACTGCATTTAATGAAATTGTATGGTGCCAAATAAGTAATATTTTTGTGAATTTGGTCCAAATATCTGGTTTTCTCCATAAAATAATTTTAACTTAACAGCATTTATAAAAAAAATCTAGCTTCTCTATTATGGAATAAGAATATCTGTTTTTAAGGTAGGTTAATATATTATAACAAAAATATTATCTAATTTTGTAATTTTAAGGTTAGAAAAATTTATTTTGACCAAAATATGGTATTTAAAAATGTGGTAGTTTTTCTTATCCAGCTTAAAGTGTACCTACATAAAGTTTTGTCAATACAAATAGTTAAAAAGCTTCGACTGAACTTGATCTACATTGAAAAATCATTATAACTTTAAAAATTTTAATAAATCACATGTCATTAAATATTTTTAAATTGCAAGTTTCTCTAAAAATTGTTTGTATTCTTATAATCTAACTTAAAGTAGGTATGTCGAGAGGTATGCACAAATTTTGTCATTAGAAGTATAAGAGCTTCAATTTAATTTAAACCATATTCAACAATTATTTAGTATACCTATATTTATTTATATTAACACACTCTTCCAAATAATCCACTTATTTATTTTGGTCAAAATAGATTTTTCTAACCTTAAAATACAAAATTAGGTAGATGATATTTTTTGTTCCAATACATTAACCTTTGATACAGATATTCTTATTTCATAATAGAGAAATTAGATTTTTTTAAATAAATGCTGTTTAGTTAAAACTATTTTATTGAGAAATGTAGACCCAATGCACAAAAATATCACTTACATTGCACCTTACACTTTGGAATTTCATTAAATGCAGTATTTACATTCCTAAATTCTTAAACCAACCTTTGTTATTGTGATACTATAAAGATTTATTAACTTTTAAACATAAGCGGTAACACTATAAATATTATTTCTTTCATTGACTATACTTTGACAGATACATAACCTAAAAAGCCTTAAATGCCAAATTTTCAAAAGACTGCGTTCCGTACGTGGTCACGCGTGGTGGGACTTTGAGGTGTGGAGCATAGTAAGAAAGTTGAGAAATAGAACGTAGTTTTTGCTTTTACTTAGTTACATTTTTTAATAAATAATAAATTTATGTTTTTTTTTCAAACAAATCCTAGTGTAAATAAAACCTTAAAAGGATTATTAACAAGCAAAAAAATATATTTTCAAAATGATTAAGCATTTTATATAAGTTTTTTTAATATGTTGGTAAATTTGTGACCCTGGGGACCATTTTTTTTTTAAGGCTTATTTAAAAAAATCCAACTGCCCACTTTTAGGTGTTAAATAACAACCCTAAATAAACAAAATTTGGAAAAAACAGGTTTGTAGATTATGTTTTTGTTTTTACGTTTTTTTCTTTAAATGTACAAGAATTTTGAAAATGACCCAATACCTACCTTCAGGAAGATCTTCTTTGATCGATTCAACGTAATTTTCTTTTTCGAAAATCGGCGCGTTATTATTTATATCACGAATCGTTATGTTTACCATTGTTGTGGAAGTGTATTTACCATCGCTCGCCTAAAATCAAAAAATATAGTATTTAGTTTATTTAATACACATTTTTTTTGAACGCTTATGATGAAAAAAATCCTGGTATATTCTAAGTAGGGTTGGAAAAATTTCACTTTTTGCTTGTACTTGAAATTTCACTTGAAATTTTCATGACATTTATGAAATTTATTAAAATTTCCTAAATTTTTGAAATTTCATGAAATTTATGAAGTTTATTGAAACTTTCAATAAATTTCAATCACTTTTAGTGTAATATATTAATATTAAAATAAGCCCACTCGGGGACCATGTCAAATTGCCTCCTTTACCTCCTACCCCTCTGTGGGCCCCTGCACCAATAATATAAATAGTAAATACCTATGTTTACCACAAATTTCTTGAGATTTCCTTTTAAAATATTTTTAAAATTACTAAAACTAAAAGAGATTTAGCACTTTTTTGTAAGCTAATGAGATTGTGCCACTCATTGTTTTATATTTGTATATATTTATTATTTTTAAATATTTTACTGAAATTTTAGGAAAATTGAAGAAACTTCATCTAAATTTTTAAGAGCCAAAGGAATTTTTTATCCGTTTTCTGATGCAATTATAGCAAAAGTAAAAATTTAAATTAATCATGACTTTTAAAAAAAATTTAAAGTCTGATTTAATTTACAGATTAAATTGGTGACGGGATTAAATTATTTAAATTAATTTATTCATATAAGTAACAATAATTACTTATAGTCTATACAAATCCAAGCCGAACTAAACAAAAACGTAATGTAAATTATTATTAAAGGTCCCAGGGGAGGCCGCATGTGAAATTTATGCGAAATTTTTAGTAAATTGCTAAACTTTCAATGAAATTTCTGAAACTTTTTTTCGGATTGAAAATTTCATTTGAAATTTTTAAAAATTTCACTTTTCCAACTAAATGAAATATAAAGTTTGAAACTTTCAAAGTTGAAATTTTCATTTGAAAATTTCAACTGTCCCAACCCTAATTCTAAGGTCGGGTTTTCTGGTCGCAATGGGGTAGTTAAATTTTTTCTGACATATACTTTTTATGGTTTTATTCAAGGCGTTTTGTAATTTTAAACATTTCTGTGAAATCGGTATTTCAATTGAGTTTACCGTTTTCGAGATATTTACAAAACAAAATCTCCTAATTACGTCACTAGGCTATTGACAACGTTGCCAGCTTTTTCTATGGTTAGCAGTGTGTTTAGTTTAAGATTCTTACGATAGATGGCGCCACGTTATAATATTTTAGTTGAGAAGAAGAAGAAGAATTGATTTTTTGACGTTTCTTTTTTTCGGGTTGTTTTTTAAAATTTAGATTATTGAAAATCAATGTTATTGTTATGTTATTTGTAATTGATATTAGATAAGTGATTTATTAATAACGGACTCCAAAGCAGAAAAATCTTGTGGAATGGTTGGTTACATTGAACATTGGAGCTTTTAAACAAAAAAAGTAAGTACCTATAATTATAATCATATTTTGTCGTAAATGCATTTCATTAGTATAATGCCTAGTTCTTTATATTCTTTTAGATATATTATTATTTATTTATTTCATTCATTTTCAGCTTTATTTTGCCACTTTTTTCTATGAAATATATTAAACTCTGCTTTAGACAGTTATTAGGTACCTATTTATTAGATTTTATTAGGTTTCACACGGTGTTTCAATGTGTAAACCTATCAATAAAACTTTTAATTTCAGAATTTTCTTTAACCTTCTCTTCTTCTTCTTTTACTCAACTGACAGTGACAGTATTTGTACATAACCTCTTCGGGTATTTTCTGACATAACCGAATGAAATCATTAACAAGACAACTTGACAACAGGGTAATTTTCAACCAATAGAAATCTTAAAATGTTGGTCACATGGCGGGGTTTGTGACGTCATAAAAATTTATATTTTTTGTAAATATCTCGAAAACGGTAAACTCAATTGAAATTCTGATTTCACAGAAATGTTTAATATTACAAAACGCCTTGAATAAAACCATAAAAAGTATAGGTCAGAAAAAATTTAACTACCCCATTGTTACAAGTTAACAAAAACGAAATATTAAACTTAAGAACCACTAAGTATACATACCAGCACAGTCAGCACAATGACGTTGTCGGTATCGTTGCTGACATCCAATCCCTTGTTATCGGCGATTCTAATTTTGCCGATCTTCTGATCTATGCTGAATAAATTTTCGTCGTTACCGGCCACAATCGAATAAGTAATATGGGACGTTTTGTCTGCGTCCCGCGCCTCTACAATCAAATCCGGGTCGAATTTAACCGCCCCTTCGTTGATGAATACCCTGTAAATCGGTTGGCTGAATATCGGCGCGTTGTCGTTATTGTCGGTGAGCGTAATTTTAAGAGGAATTATTGTCGTCTGCCCTTTACCATCATCATCAGTAGCCTACAATAAAATATGCATAATGATTCGTATAAATATAGTATAACTTTGAGTTGAATATAAATTTTACAATATTGGACAATGTGTTCGGGAGTGAAGCATCACACCACCTAAGATAACCAATGAAATGATTTCCCGCTTGAAATAAGACGCCGGCCGGTCGCTCAACTGCAATCTGCATCATCAGTTTGCAGTTTTATTTAGTGTTAGGAGTATATTATTGTGAGGTTAGTACCACATTTCTGGTGAGTAATTATTGAATATTATTTTTCCGAATAGGTAGGTATTTGCAAAATTGTTCATGGACTGGGATAAATCAATAAATACCTGGTGATCAAATGAGGATAAAAAGTGTTTCTATGTTCCTACTGTGATACATTATTGATCAGCTTACTATTTACAGTTGTATTAACTAAAAAAGCGTACAAGAATTAGAATGAGAGAAAACTGTCAACATTATTGCGTAAAACCGGCTTTCCACTGACTTAAGTCACTATAACTGACAGTAGAAAATAAAAATGCCTCGTCAGTTAAAAAGGCTTAAATAGTATCAAGAATCGAAGAAGAATGGTCAATTCGTACCGTGGTATAATAGAAATTAAAAATCTATTTAAGCAACGCTGGGAAAAGGAAGATTTACTAAACCAAAAAGTTGGTTCAGGTCGTCCCAAAATGTCCACCCCTGAACAGGATGCTGCTTTTTTGGGATATCTGAGGATTTATGGGAAACTATACAACTATACTATACCTACTATACTGCTGGGAAGATATTAATCCAAATATTGTATTAAATTTAATTCAGTTCATCCCAAATAGATTGGCTCAAGTAACAAAAAAACACGGATGCATGACTAAATATTAATTTTTTTTAATGTTTGTTTTTTTCAGTTCTAAAAGGTAATAATTTTTGTAATATTATTTAATTAACCTACGACGTCAATGCTCTTTATAACCTATAGTAATTATTTTTATGCACGATGACATTATAATATGACAATTATAACAAAAATTCTTTGACGTAAACGTCTTTTTATAGCCCGCGGGCGTTATTATGACCCAGCGGGCTATAATGAAACGTCAAAAATTAAAAACAACAATGTTACACCATTTGATATATTCGAAGTAAGTTTTTTCGTATAAAGATTTTGATTTTTCCGGCAGCAGGCCGCAATTTTTCGCCTTTTCAGCTGCTTCCTCAATTTCATTCATCTTTAAACTTTAAAACTGACTGATGTCAGTTGACATTATAATATGACAATTATAACAAAAATTCTTTGACGTAAACGTCTTTAAAAACAATAATATATTAAAAATAATAATATATTAATCGTGCATAAAGTTTTGTATGCATTGCTGGCATAACTGGTTTTTATGGTCCTACGACGCTTTTCTAGCCCTCGCGCTAACGCGCTCGGGCTCGAAATAGCGCCTCGGACCATAAAAACCTTATTATGCCCTTAATACATAAATAACTATAATGACTTATGTCAGTGATGAGCCGGTTTTAAGCAATAATATTATTTTGACAGTTTTCTCTCATTCTAATTCTTGTACGCTTTTTTATTGAATACAACTGTACTTTAGTTTGTAATTTATGTTTTCAATTTATTAACTTTAATTCTTAAAAATTCTTTGTGTTGGTCGCTGAATACATATTTAGTCTATCTCAATATTATTAGAATAACCTATACGAATTTTATATTTCAGTTTGTAGTTTATGTTTTGTTATATTTATTTTATGCTGTTAGTGTCAGTTTATACACTGCCCGTCAAAATTAAAGCATAATAAGTAAAAAAATTCTAACTCTAAAACGCCTTTACCAATCTTTATAAAATTTTGGATTAAAATACTTTAACTTATATCTCAGTTTACGTTTTCAAGGGTTTTTCGAAAAAATATCCTTAAAGCCTTTTATTTAATATTTAAAAAAACACTCGAAAAAAAACTTTTATAGGGAATTTGTTTTAAGTAAATAAAAAATATGCTCTTAATGACCGTATTTTTGTTAGTATACCCTAAAAATTTTGTACAAATCAAACGAACAGTAACGAAGATACAGAGCTTCAAAGTCGCTAAAAATGACCACTTTCAGCAAAATAATCAAAAAGGGGTCATTTTTACCTTCTTTGAAGCGCTGTATCTTCGTTACTGTTCGTTTGATTTGTACAAAATTTTCAGGGTATACTAACAAAAATACGGTCTTTAACAGCATATTTTTTATTTACTTAAAAAAAATTCCCTATAAAAGTTTTTTTTTTCGAGCGTTTTTTTAATATTAAATAAAAGGGCTTTAAAAATATTTTCTCGAAAAACCCTCGAACACATAAACTGAGATATAAGTTAAAGTATTCTTATACAAAATTTCATAAAGATTGGTAAAGGCGTTTTAGAGTTAGAAATTTTTTACTTATTATGCCTTAATTTTGCCGCGCAGTGTATTAAGTTTAGGAATTCTATTTTCAATATTTTTTGTATAAGTCGCTGAATATATAGGTATCTAAATTAAAAATTTATTTTCATTTTCCTTTTTACCACCCTCGCATCCCAAAAATTATTAAAATTTTTAAATAAATTGGAGAAATTATTATTAATCATATATTATATCACGAGAACTATGAATTTAATCGGTTAAACTAGGCTCAGTAGTTTTTTGTTTGGTTTTTGTTGGAAAATGTTGAATGCAAAATAATTTCATAAAATTACGAGACCGCGTAGCGGTCGAGGGGTTTTATTTTTAATTATTTTGCATGAAACTATTTTCCAAAAAGAAAAATCAAATAAAAAACTTACTGAGCATAGTTTGACAGATTAAATTTATAGGTTGAGTGATATACGTCTAGATTATTTCTCGAATTAAAGGAAATTATTTGACAATTTATAAAATCTGACGTATGTGTCAAAATTTATAAATATTTTTTAAAAGAAAATTCCATTAATTTAAGGTATGTAATAAGTAATAATTGATATTTCGTAAACTAGATAACTTATTTTTTATTGTTTTTTAAAAAATGTTTGTTAAAACTTGTAAATAACACCATAAAATCGTAAACAAAAATCCAATATGGAGGCTAAAATTTAATCGCTGTTAAATAGTTCTAGCGATTTAATCGCTTATTTAAACGAAATTTATTCGAAAATTCAAGGCTTTTGATTGGTTCATATTATAATGAGGGAAATAATCAATGTTGTTTTATTATGTGCCACAATTTTTGCAATTTTACCACAAAATATTATATTAAAAAAGTTTCTCATTTACTTACACAAATTATATGAGCCGATTAGATTAAAATATGTTCAAATGTCAAATAAATTATATAAGTTTACAATTATTTGCTACAATTTAGCACAAATTGTTCCCGTCACCGTTTTAACACCAAATCCAACAATTTTTGGGGCCGGCGTTTCTCTATTTAAAAAAGCCAAACGGATATATCAATGCAACAATATCCACACAAAAGTTTAAAAAAATCATTTATTATTGCAATTAAATATTTTGGCGATATTTATTTAGAAAATTAACGAAATGTACAATTCAGAAAATTGTTGGGTATGATAAGTTTACCTAAACTTTACATTCACACAATATACTATTGAAAAGAATATAGTGTTTGTTTACAACTTTTTGTAAATAAATGCAATTCTGACCTAGTAATTTATCTTGAATTAAAATGTTTCTTGGTGAAGTATAAATAAGAACACAAAAACCCAAGAACCGTTTTGTGACCTTATTAGTAAGTGCTAAAAAATACAATTTTTATTGCCCACTTGTGGAATTCTGTGGAACTCTATATAAAAAAACGAGTTATTGTTAACAAAAGAAAAATGAATAGGGTGAACCACATAGTTATTGGACAAATATTAATTATTTAAAATTTATATATGCCATTGTTTTAAAGATTTTAGTTTTTTCTTATGACTATATAAAAAGGATAGTTTCTTTGTTTAAACTTTATTTACGTTTACTTAAAAATAAGAATATTTAAATTTTTAATAATAGTTTTATAAAATCATGCAAAAAAGTATAGTAATTGGACACATATGTGGACCATAGTTATTGGACATACAATTTTTATATAAACATAAAAACTTTATATCAAATAACATAAATTGTTTAATATTTTTTAAAGATAAATTGTTGTTTTAGGAAATTTTTTTTATTTCATTTTTGTAAATATCATATAATTCATATATTTCTTTCTCGGATTCCTCATCCCTTTTCTGGATTCTGAAGGTAACTCCAATTCCTTGGTCTGACTTCTGAAATAGTTTGTTGCAAATATCATTAAGTGTGGTATCTCTAGTTTGTGAAGCATTTATAATGTTTAGGCTGGAACAGGATGATTATAATATTTTTTCCGATGGTATGTTAAAAGTTTTTGCCGAATTTATTAATTTTGTTGCCATTAGTTTTTTATGTTCTCTATCATGCACTGTATTTAAATCACTGTTATTCTGCAAGATGTCCTGTGACGAAGAAATCACTATATTACTTACTCTCTAAAAATGAATTAGTCAAAAATGTGATAGCTAAAAAGCAGCCACTAATAATTCTCGTCAACAGCAATTTGTATCCAGGACATTTAGCAGTCAATTCCTATGAAATATTATTCGCTGATTCTGAAAAGGTCGTCAAAAGTTATAAAAGTAGAACAGTTTTTGAAATATAATCAATTTTACATATAATATGGAATTGACTATATCTCAAAAACTGCTTAAGTTTTATAGTTTTTGACGGTCTTTTCGGATTCAGGGGACAATTTTACCTAAGAATTGGCTGGTAAATGTCCGGGATACAGATAGAGTATGATATTGGACATAAGTCCAATAATAAAAAATTACATTTTTTACCAACCAGTAATTGGACACTGGCCATTTTAGAATTAAAATTAAAACGCATTAAAGTGACAATGTTTAAACACATTTATACCACACACTGATCTGTACACTTTTTATTTTTTATTGTAATTTAAACACAGCCGTGCTCTTAACAAAACAACAAAAATCTTACCACCAAAGTAACGTGCGAACTTTTTTGTCCTATATTGGACACAAAATAAAGTAGTTCTATATTATTACCGACTGAGATAGTTATAATTGTATACAGCGTCATCTAATGATTTGACTTTAAGGTAACTATTTATAGAACTCTTGTTTTTACAGTATTAATGTTAATTGTCCAGTAACTAAGTGTCCGATAACTGCCTAGTTTACATACATACATTTATAAGAGGTTTATTTTTATACAACATTACTTTACATTACATCAAATGGCTTAGTAAAATTTAAGTGTTTCTATTTACAAAAATTAAGTTGGCGACCGTCACTAAAAAACAAAAATAAAAATAAAAAAGCATTTTAATTAATTCCAAGAAAAACCAAATTCATAAAGATTTATAAAGCAATTGGTGAATAATTTAATAAAAAATGTATTTAACTAATGAAATAAACTCATTGAAGACTGATCAATGAATTGCATAGTGCAAGTTTTAGCCTCTTTTGTATTAACTGAATTCAAAAGGAAAAGCTTCGCTTATTAAAGTTTTCTCCTTTGTTTAATGCCGGTACAAAGAAAATGACAAAGTTTTAATTGCACTTTGCAAAACTAAAAATTCGTTCTAAGCTACAAACTACTAAAAGAGGCAGGTTCATAATTTGATGTTTCTATTAAAATGTGCTTATGTATATTGATGTAATGTGATCTTCTACAGTACGTATAACAAGCAACTAATTAAATTGTACTCACAATGAACTGTAGTTGATACTCGGGCTTGGTTTCGTAGTCCAGGCAACTTTCTGACCCGGGGTTTTCGCAAAAATTCACCGAAACTGTACCGGTCCGGTTGTTGACCGTAAATTTATCTGCTCCGTTTCCACTCAACTTATACACGATGCCATTCTCTCCGAACCGGCCGCTATCGCGATCTCTGGCTACAATGGTGATGACAGGTGTGCCAGGAGAGGCCATCTCCGATAAAGCGGCCGAATAGCCCTCCTGATCAAAACTGGGGGCGTTATCGTTTATGTCCAGAACGGAAACTGTTATGGTTGCAGTGGAAGAGAGCTGTTCCTTCGTGTACAGTTCCCTCGCAACGGCCAAAATGATGAATTTACGTCGGTTCGGGTCTTCGTAATCAAGGTTGTTGTTGATGACGCTGATTGTGACTGGAGTGGATCCTGTCGCGTTCCTAGGGTCGATGGAAAACGCACCCGAAACGTCGTTCAATTCCAAGGCAAAGGCAGAGTTGTTGCCCTTAAAAGAGCGGATTAATTTTCATGTCGGTTAACGACCGTTAACGACCTACCTCGTCAGGGTCCATCACGGTCATGTCCAGATCTGGCAGCGGCGATCCTTCCGGTATGTTCTCCGGAATTTCCACGAAATACTCGCGCTTATTGAACATCGGACGCTCGTCGTTTACATCTCTAACGATCACCGTGGCCAAGGCATCTGTCACAGTCAAGGGGTCGTTGCTTTTAGCACCCTCCACCAACTCACGGGCCTGCAATCAAAATGGCATCGTTATAAATCAACAATTTTCAAGGGAAAATTGGCAATTGATCAGCATGGAAAAAGAATCACTTTACTATGCGCAATAGAGAGTTATAGGCACAATCCACACATGTGGATTGTGGTTATAGGTACGTCGTGAAAAGTAAATACAATTACTGTGTAGTAAGAATTTAAATATGTAAAAAAAATGTGATGATCCATTTAAAATCACAAAGTTGATATCGCTTTCATTAAAACCGTAAGAGGATTAAGAATTTTTTTCGAAATAATTTAGAAAAATAGTTTATATAATTGCTATAAAAATTTCTTTTGCCGTTTCCGTAAACGTCTAACCTATAGGTTGGTATACCATCCCGTTTAATTTACCCAACTTTCAAATATTATCAAAAAAATTAATGGATTTTAATGCAAAGGAGGAAAAGCTTTTTTAGTAATATTCTTTCAAATATAATTATAATATTTGTAAACACTCTGAGTTTGTTCAAATATTTACCAATATCATGTCATTGCTCAAATAAACATAACAAATTTGTAATTGTTTTTCCATGCTCAAAAATTCCCTAACATAATCCAAACTGCCTTTGCAGTTGTTGAGCACAATTTGATAATTTATTGTTGTACATCGCGATTGCACAAAATCATAGGAATATTAAGTCCTATATTGTACAGTTACGGAAAATAGTAATGTCAATTTAAATGCTCCATTGTAATTGTTCGGAGACATTCGGGTTTTGGTAATAAAATATTTTTAAACTCCTACCTACCTGCTATTTACCATTCTTTCTACGCACATTTTATTTGACTTTTAAGCTTTTATTTACTGAATAAAATTGATTTTAAAATAATTTATATATAATATATGGGTGATTCTACAAAAGTTGAACAACTTCATGTCATCAGTCAATAGAGTAGGTGTTTTAATATTTTTTGTAAATATTTTAGTATATTACAAAAGATCCAGGTTTTTTTTTACCTTGTCAACCCAATTTTAATGTATTTTTCAAAAGCACGTTTGAAGAAAAACATAATAAATATTCAAAACATCAGTACCTTGGCGTGTCACAACTCCTGAATCAAATATTTGAGGGATTTTATTTTAAAATATATATTTAATTTATCTTAAATTTTTCAATTTCACTACAAACTATAAAACATTAAAAAATGTGTTTTTCATATTTTATCATAGATTCGAATAATAGCAATTTTTAAAAAATTGGTAATCATTGTACTCACTTTTACCCGTCAGTTCTATGTCCAATTTAAAATTCAAAATTCCTGCGAAATATTGAAGTTTAAACGTCAAGTCCTCGTTTTAACTTAAAATTATCTACAGAGTTCGCCCTTTGCACGACAGTCATCTTGAAAACAATGCAAGCGGCGAAGTTGAGCTGAATGCACGTATAGTTCCAGTCAAAATTTCAGTACTGTGGTTAGTAGTTATTTTCTTACGTATATATATTTCATTGTAATTTATATAAGGCTATATGTGATTTGTTGATAAGTAGCATCCACTAATAAAAAATATCAGTAAAATACTTAATTCCGAATTATAATCTCATATTTGTATCCCATTCATCAGTACCGTGTCGTCAGTTCCATGTTCGATGTTTCGGTTATCTTTTTTTCGCAAACTTCAATTTGAATTCTGCTTGCGTAGAACTTGTTTATTTAATGTCATTATAAACTCATATAAATTTGTTGTGGGTCCCATATCTAATAATTGAGATAACGGTATACCCAACATCCACCAACCGCCACTGATGTGTGGTATTATTTGATTTTAAGATATTTAATGTAAAATATGCTCAAAGTAGCAATAAATTTTATATTTTCCAATAAATTATGTATTTAATTAGTACCCTGGTATACTCGTCACTTCCCTTGTATTCAAATTTAGAAAAAACAAATATTTCAGAAACTGTTTGAAAAAGTGACTGGCCCGGTCTGGAACAGTATATTTATTATATTATCTATGTTCTCATAACAAAATACTGTTTAATTTTTTTCGAAAACTCTATAAACAAAGTGAGGTTAAAAGTTGCCCAACTTTTGTAGAATCACCCATATGTATAAATTGTATAAAACTATAAAAAAATATTTAAAAAAATAAACGATTTAATAAAAATTCGGTAAAATACACACGGTGTAATACACTCAAAATAATTAATTCAATACGAGCAGGTAGTAAATTCTAAAAATATACCCTAAGAGGCAGATGTTGGACATTACTATTTTCCGTAACTGTAACTTACATGTATTGGCAAAACTTGGGTTCTTTTTTACCTTTATGCTTAAAGTTAAAACTCCTTCTGGATTGTCGATGGCCTCTTTGTCCAGCGGCCTCGCAGTCCTTAACTCCCCAGTAACGGCATCGAGTAGAAAATAACTCATGGGATCTATAACAAAAATTTAATTAAAATCATAATTCCACCGATTTTATCATAATAATTATTAGTGTTCTTACTGTTGACTAGTTCGTAAACTATTTTCCTCGGGGCGCCTCTGTCGCCGTCTTCTGCGTGAACCTTCATTACCAGAGTGTTAATTGGGGCGTCCTCGGAAATTTCCGCGGTTAAATTGCCAATAAATTGCGGGGGAGTGTCTTGCACATCCCCCACGGACACCGTGACGTTTGTTGTACTGCTCAATTCTCCATCCTGAAATTAATAAAATTTGTATCGTTAATTTTTTTTTATCTGGACTCGTGTTTTTTGTTAGGTTGGTGGCTTATGTCAGTTTGACTTGGTATTTTTAGTATTTAAAAATGGTACTTCTGCTAAAGAATTTAATTAAATACTTTGACACTGTCAAATTGACAATAATATTTATTATTGATAATTTACTTGTCAATTATAAATAAAAATATAAATATGCCAAAAATAATAGCAACGAATTCGAATGTAAAAGCCCTTTTAAGGGCAAAACTTCATTTTGATGAAATTATGCTAAATGCCACAATGGAATGGAAAAAGTACATCACCTTATGGACATTTTTGGAGTAAAATAGTAACGAATTTGGTTTTATAAATATTACATAACACATTATTTTCACATTATTCATCATTGGACAACATTTACGTTCACAAAAAATTTTAATTTCTTTTATATAAATTCTTTTCAAAGCGAAGAAAATTATCCGCTAGGAATACTTTCTCTTCTGGGCCGTAAAGCAACCTATATTTAACTACTTTTTTATATGATTTTACTCATCCAAGCACCACCAAAGCCAAATTAATTGCATTGTTAACTACGAATTTCGACAATTCAACTTGACAATTGCACAATGTAACCTACAATAATTTATACATAACCACAATTAGATTTATAACTAGCTTAGTTTGTTTTAATCAATGCGACCAACTTGACAACTGTATTTACCAACCAAAACCCTAAATTTGCAACGTTGCCGCAGTCCAGATAAAAAAATTAACTACGTCTAAAAAATTAAAATTTAAAAATTTGTGCACCCCACTGATACTTTTTATAATCACCCATAATATAACAAGTGGTATGATTATCATCGATGATATTTTCGAATTGAAACCGAGCTGCAGATTTCACGAGTCCGCAGGACGAGTGAAATGTGCTGCTTCGGTTTTAATGAGTAAATATCATCGATAATTAATCATACCACGAGTTATATTTAGTGAGAAAATATAATGAATTTTAGGATTTAACGAATTTTTATTTTGACATTTGAAATTAAAATGTGCTTTAAAATATAAAAAGACTTTAATAAACCTTATTTATTCAAACTTACCTTAATTTCATTATCGTTTACACCAACCCATCGATCTTTTAGAGTTTATAATTCATTATTTTATTGATATATCGTCACCTGAGAATTATAGTGTTCTATCTGCATTTTCTTTTTTTTATTCAGGTTAGTCTTGTTTTAAGTATTAAAGATGCATATTGTTCTATCTATATATAATTGGGGTAGAAATTGTAAAGTTTAAGGCTTAAACTGTACAATTTCTACACCAATTATATATAGATAGAACAATATGCATCTTTAATACTTAAAACAAGACTAACCTGAATAAAAAAAAGAAAATGCAGATAGAACACTATAATTCTCAGGTGACGATATATCAAAAACAGAATTGAAATGACAACAAATGTCAAATCAAAAAAACGTCAAAATTCATAGTAACGTGTAAACAAGATGATAAAAAATATTGCCGCTGTGATAAAATACGTCACTATGGAATACTGGCATTTTATTGGTTCTAATATTAATGAATTATATTGTCATAAACATTTAACACATTTAATCTTAAAAACTAAGCAAGATTATATAAACTTTTTTAATATTTTTAAATAGTAGAATAATAAAATAAACCTTTGCTTATAAGGGAAGATACAAACATAAAAATTTAACAAGATTAACTAGGGGAAGTGAGTAAAAGGAAAAGACAATATTTGGGTAATAAAAAATACGATATAAAAACCGGAAAGCCCTTGGAAATCTTGACTAATAAAGCAAAACCATATAAAAAGATCGTGAAAAATTATTCTTTAAAAAAGAAGAAAATACATGCCTAATGGCTGCTACATCATAAAGAATCATAACATGATTAATGTAAATTTATAATTCGGTCGTCGTTAAATTTACCTCGGAATATTTTTTTATTATAATTAAAAAATTGAAATACAAATTTTTTAATTGTTTTCTGTGCCTCTTTGGGTTCTTGCCAACAGGAGAATAATAAAATTAGTCTGTATAAGTCATAAATAAATCAATAATATCACTAATTTACAGCCTTTTTGCGTACCATGTCTCACTATGATTTTCGGCTCAGTAGTTCGATACTGGCGATTTTATGAAGTTGAAAAAGACCATTTTTTTTTTTACAAAAATCGAGGTCGAAAATTTACATATCTTTCTGGGAAAGATAGAAATCGAAAAGGTAAGTCCAGTTTGATTTATTTTACGTATAGATTATACTTAAAGGAAAAAAATAAGCTGCTGTTGATAAAAATCCCTGGATAAATGGCGAAGTTATAAATTTTTTAGTGGAAGAGCAAAATTCAGTTTTTCAAAAATTTTTACGTTTTTTCTTCATTTTATTGAATTTTTTAAAATTTAATATTGAACATTGATTTTTATTTTAAACATTAAATATTGAATATTAAACCATAAATACTGAACATAGAAGAAATTAAAAGTTTTATTTTGTTCTAAAAAGATTAGGTTTAACAAAATTCTGTCTCCTTCTTTGTTTTTTGTTGCTTTCGTATTCCGTTTCTCGTATGAAGGACCAAATGTAATCACCCATCATGGCTGCATCCCAGAAGCCGTTCTCCGTGCTCATCACTTACGTCGCCCAGATTATGCGGGTTATTTACGCACTCGAACTCTCTACTTCTTTTCCTCAATTTACACCTTTTATTAATTAAATAAAACCATGATAAAAATACCTTGTTGAAATGTCAAAAAATAGCAGTAAAATGTCACTATGCCAACACGAGAAACAAAAGAATTCACGTTTGCGGAGTCATGTCAAATTTAAATTTTAAATAATGTTTTTGGTGAAAAAAGTACGTAAAAAACTCAAAAAATTCCAATCATGCAGAAAATCATGCACGAGATTTTGAAAATATTCACATTATTGTGTAGTAGGCATCACGCATATGTCACAGTGTTTTGAAATTCCGTTTTTTATCAATATTATTAAAGTTAATAATTTTGTAAAACTTTAGAGCACGGTAAAATTGAAAAAATAGAATCTCTGGGACCACTCTGTATAATTGAATTAAATTTTACACACTATTGTAGCAATGTTTAGACTATAGAATGATCATTTAATTAAGGTAAATTTGTGTAAATAAAAGAATTTTGCATACATTTATTATAAACTAATCTTGTGCCATAATATGCGGCAAACGTTTCCGTTAAATAAGATGTACTCAAAAATTTGTCTTTCATATGTCATTCCGGAGATATTAATTTTTTTGTCCCGCTGTGCGCTTGATCAGTACGCGCGCGCTTCGTTTCTAGCTCGTCCGTTCTAACGTTTTAACGGTGTGCCTGAACGAAGTTTAACTCACATAAAAATGCCGCCAAAAACTGATTGTAGTTTCTTGTTCGGGACCCTTTAGTGACTTAAAAATGATATTTACCAAAGTCCTAGCTGCTCCTGTTTTCAAAATTTTTCGAAAATTCATGATTTTTTTTTTAATTTTTGTTTATCTCATAGTCTACATTTGACAGAGTACACATTTGTACACCGATTTTTATAAAATTGGAGTATATTATTTAGGAGACTTACTTTTTAATACTGTCCACATCATTTGATATATATAACCTATTTTTAATAAAGCAAAAGCGTAAATTCATGGTTTTAGCATTACACGCAAAAAATATTTATATGGCATTATTATTAACCTTTTACAAGAAAAATAGATTTTTAATAAAATTTAATAAACTAACGCTTAGAGAATATTTAAAATGTTGTTTAATTTTGAATTTTAGTAGTTTTTAATTTTGAACGAAAAATTGATTGAAGTTTTGGTGATTTAAAAAAGATATTTACCAAAATTCTAACTTCGTTTTTTGAAATTTGTATAAAATTCAATTTTTTTTTAATTATTTGTTTAAGTGTACCCATTTGTACACCGATATTGTAAACGAGAGAAACTGTTTTTATACTGAGCATATCATTAGATTTATACAGGGTTAGACAAAAATCATTTTTTTATATAGTAAAGCATAATCCATAAAAAAGGTTTTTCAAATAATTTCGAAAAGAGTAGCAGCCAGGATTTTGGTAAATATCATTTTTAAGTCACCAAAGGGTCCCGAACAAGAAACTGCAATCAGTTTTTGGCGGCATTTTTATGTGTCTTAAACCTCGTTCAGGCACACCGTGTGCTAGCAGCGAAGCGCGCCGCGTACTGATCAAGCGCACAGCTGGACAAATATTTGGAATGACATATGAAGGACAAATTTTTGAGTACATTTTATTAAACGGCAACGTTTGCCGCATATTATGACACAAGATTAATTTTTTTTCAGCGTGAAGAACACATACAAAATTTCAATTGTTTATAATAAATGTATGCAAAATTTTTTTATTTAAACAAATTAACCTTAATTAAATGATCATTCTATAGTCTAAACATTTCTACAATAGTGTGTAAAATTTAATTCAATTATACAGAGTTGTCCCAGAGATTCCTTTTTTTCAATTTTACCTTTGACAAAATTGTCAACCTTAATAACATTACCAAAAAAATTAATTTTAAAACAATTTTTTTACTGTGACATATGAGTCATGCCTACTATACAATATTGTGATTATTTTTAAAATCCGTGATTTCGTGAAGTTTTCTGGTCAAAAAGCTGAATTTTGGTCTTCCATTAAAAAAATCATAACTTCGCCATTTTTCCATGTATTTTTATCAACATTTGCTGTTTTTTTTTTAAATGTCAGCTTACGAAAAAAATTCTAAAAGGGGTCTTACATTCGCCTTGAGCAGGAACTGATATGTGTGTTGTTTGGCGTAGCTCAGCTTTCGATTGAGGACAATGGAGCCCCGATAGGAATTCTGCGCCGAGCTGACGGTTCCAATGCCGAATATCTCGCATGCATCCTCGTACTCTGCCAAATTTATGCAATCCACCTCGATATTTTCGCCGGATGAGTCTTTATCGACAACGCTGATATCGGAAAACACGGTGGAGCCCGCAGCGGTGTCCTCATTGATAACAATTTCGTAGGGAGCCTGAAAATAACATGTTATCTTTGAGTTATACCTAACGGATGAAAAGCTTTCAGGCGGATTTAAAAATAAATCCCCCTATTTTCTATATATATATACGCCATGTTTACCTTTTGGAACTCTGGTGCATTATCGTTTTCATCAAGGATGATAACTGCTATCGGCTCTTCTACGATGTTATTTTTTGCGTTACCCTCTACTTCGTCTTCTATACTTATAATTACGTATAAGGTATTGTTTGCCTGAAATAGAAAAACATATTTAAGTATATTCATATCTTACAGTGCAAAATAGTATATTATGTATCAAGTTTGATAAACGCCATTTTATACACGAATTTAATTTAGGCACGAGCGAGCTTGCGAGCGAGTGCTTAAGTTAATGATTGTATAGAAAAGTTTATAAACGAGGTGCATACTATACTTTTTCTACGACAAATACTTATTATTATCTTAAAATGATTTAAATCATAGTGTATAGAGCGCCATCTATGAAACAACAGGGGAAACTGTCAAATGTCACATTTTTACATTTTATAAATACAATTATGAAGGTTATAAATCGAAATGTATATTGAAAATTGACAGTTTTTCACAGTGAAAGTAAAGGAAATGTTTTATGAGGACTTTACAGTAGAGTCCGTGCCCGAATTTAAGTTATAGTTTACTGCCAACGAAATTAAAAGGTCAGTACAATGTTCATATGAACTTTTCGAACATTGGCGTTGAGAAACTATTTAATACTTTTGTATTTTTGTATTGAGATAATAAAATAATTTTCACATTTAGTATTATTTTACAAGAAAGGCACTTTATTTTAACGATTGTATGACATTTGACAACTGTCAACTAACTTAAAACTAACTTCAGCCCGTGACTAAAAACCTGTTGCTAACTTCAGCCCGTGACTAAAGCGCCGTAAAGCCACAACTTGTCAATGTGTATTTAAAAGGTCACTTAGTGTCATGGAAACATGTACGATGAAGGGCGTTTTAAAGGTGGGAGTAGAAAAAATATGTTTTTGTTATAGAGTCAATACATATGAAAACGGCGAAACTCGTTGCTCGACCATCTTGGATTTTGATCAAATTTTATAGAAATATTTATTAGGGTCCCAAAGGACAAAATCCACCCTTTTAATTTTTCGCATGTGTCAAATCCGGCCAATTCGAATTAAAACTTTTTAAAAATGTCATTTTTATGCTTTAATAATTTAAGCTGATATTTTAAATTTTAAGATGTCATTTTAAAGCTAAAAATAGTAGTTTTTATAAAAAAAATATAAATTCACTCAATCAATATTTCTAAATAATTACACGGGGCTGAAAAAACGCGTATTTTACTAATTTTTCGTGTTTTTTTCCCCATGTCTCGGCTGTTTAATATGAACAGCAAATTTTTTTCATATATAAAGTTTACATACCAAAGACAAAATAAAACTTACAATTGACCCGTTTGGCATACGATTTCCAAAAAAAAATTGCTTGAAATTTTAAAATTCCAGAAAATCGCATTATTTAGGCCATTATATAAGGATGTTGACTTCCAAATAGAATTATGAAATTTAAAGGAAAATTAGATCCTACCTTGATGTTCAAATGCCTGGTAGTTTGGTTTTGTTATTTTCATCTTTGAAGGTTATACAGTAGCTTTAAAAGGAGAAAAATATTGAAATAATAAAAAGTTGCATTATTTCATCCATTATACATGTATAAGTATGTTGACTTTAATATAGAAATATGACATAAGACCTTGAAAATGAAATGCCTAAAAGCAAAATGGATGAAAATATCAAAACAAGTTAAATAGGCATTTAAACTTCAAGGTAAGGACTAAATATCCTCTTAATTTCATATTTCTAAATTGAAGTCGACATAAATAATGCGACTTTTAATATTTCAATATTTTTCTCCTTTTAAAGCTCTATGGATCTCTTCTAACATGAATATTATTTACTATTAAGGCTCTCTGCCATTGGTCAGCTGGCCCTACATTTCTTATTAAAAAAATAATAAATTTAGACAGCTAATATAGAACTAGACTCACAAATAAAAACATAAAATAACCAAAATTATGTCTTAATTAAGGTTGAAAGTTGTCCCCGTCATATTGCAATAGTGAAAATTTGGATATTTTTCATAGGTTTTGTATGATACATAATTTTAAAACTAAAGTGAAATAACAAATAAGTAGCTCCTCAGTTCTAATAAAGAATGTGATAAAATGTCTGAATAATTTTATATTTAATGTCTACTTCGTCCCAAACCGCCTAAATAAAAACAACTTTGTTATAAAATACACTGGGTTTATTAGCATTACATATAAAAGAACTCTGTAACTTATGTAATTTATAACTCTGGCACGAGATGGAGACGCTGCAGGCAATGGTATCGCTATTGTTATTTTGCGCGTTACAAACAAGCAGCGTGTGTTTTTGAAGGTTATCTTTCGTCACGGCATTTACTTGGTAATTTAAACTTTTTTTTTCATTTAAAGTAAACCAAGTTCTTTCTTTATAATTAATGCAATGTTTTATGTGCTTTTAAAGCGGAACACCATGGATAATAAAAATACCGTTCATTACACGAATAAAAATTAAATTTATAGATATTTACAGTTTACTGATTTGTTAACACATGCGTGAAACAATAAAATTTATAATTCAATCAACAATTTAATAACAAACAATCCTGGGGCTTTAATATACGTTTCATTAATTTAAATACAATTGTATTTATATGTACACAGTTTAACGGAGCTGCGAATTTATAAACTATGTAGGTACAAAATTTTATTCTACTATTTACAATAAACTAAAGCAAATAAAATGAACAAAAAAATAAACGTTTTGCAATATCAATACTTGAATGAAAGGATATACTAAGCTAGACAATAAACCATTTGAAATTGCCTTAAATCTATTTTTTATTAATTCCTTTATTTGACATCCCAAAAACATGAATTTATTATGTATTGTACTTGTTTTCTTTAATGCGTAATGAACAAGTACTAAATTTAAAATTGTTTAAATTGGGTTTGCAAAAAACAAAATTTTATCTGATTATAATAAAAATTTATTCATATAATTTAAAACTTGAACTGTACTGCACTGTTCCTTCTGCATTTTCTTATTAAGACGATTTTACCAAGTTCTAAGAAAAACGCGGTAATTTCTTTCATTGGCAGAATTTCTGTTGACTCTGCCATTAATTTCATTATAATGCTTTTAAGAAATGCAAACAGGTTTAAAACTCAATCAAAATTTAATGTTTTCCCAAGTCCAGGCTTATTTTTGGCAAGCAAATACGGCTTTAATTTTTTTTGCTTTTTCAATTTCAGCGTTTGTTTTGGAGCTCGAAATACAAAATACGTAGAACAATTATAGTTTTGTATAGCTAAATATAATAGTATAATGTTTCAAGAATTGCATGCTAATATTAAAGGGTTTTTCTTTGATAGTGTGTAAAGTTAAAAAAATACTGGTGAAGCCATTTGTATAAAAATAAATAACAAGATTTAAAAATAGTATATTAAAGAACTAATGTCGCACGTGGACAATTTATAAAACGAGCGACGAAGGAGCGAGTTTTGTAATGGACGAGTGCGATAAAAGGTCTTATGACATGAGTTCTTTAGGCTATTTTATCTATTTTGCAAAAATTCTATAAAAAAAATTAATTTTATACCTTAAATTTAATTTGGTCGAATTTTACTTTAGATAGTTGGTATCACAGTCATTGGTTTGACAGTTAATGTCAATCGATTCGCCATGCCGTCCTTAATTTACTATTAGTGACTGCTTTTTCGCTATGACAATTATGGCCACTTGCACCGTTTTCTCTAACTGATCAGTTAAATAAACTGCCAAATTAAAAGGTAACAGGAGATTAGTGTCCAAAATCTTGCACCGAGATTTTTTCACTATGATTTAAAATTTAACTAGTGATCTGGGGAATTTGACTAACAAATGGAAAAGATTGGTGCTAATAACTAACTTCACACTTATTTGTGACGCAAATGTATTTTGACGTTAAGAGTTCGATTCTTTATAATCTGTGGTTCGATTCTTTATCATCTTTGGTTCGATTCTATTTCATGTACGACCGATTCAGTTGATGGTAAGAGAGAATAATATGGATACAGAACCTGAAAAAAGGGGGCGCTCCTCAAATTTTTCAGAAAATGAAAAAATCATTTAATTAATCTTGTGGATACAAGGGTATCATTGAAAACAAAGAGACAGATAGGGCTAAAACAATTAGAGCAGGAAATTAACAATAAAAAGGATAAAAAGAAATGAAACTTTCGGATTTAAAAATTTTAGAAGAAAAAGAAAAACTTAATATATATATTATAATAATAAACAAGAAGTGACTATTTATTTTATTTTAATTTTAAATAAGTATAAATTAAATAAAACATCAAAAATATTATTTACATTAAATTTTATAAATTCGCAAAATAATCTTGTATTTATTGATTTTGAAACATAATGCGATCTTGTGGATGAGTAACAACAGAGTACTCCAGTTCATAGCATTAATATCAGCAGGGCAATGGTTTATTCATGTCTCTATAGCAATATTATGTAGTACAGCTGCAGCTGGAATAATGGACAAAACTATCTAGTTTTAATCTTAAGCCATATTCCAACACTGGAAACCTTCTTTTCCAAATTCCAAATACCCTTTCTATTATATTTCTGGTTCTTAGTAGTGACTCATTATAGAGTTGCTGACCTCTATACCTATAACTACAGTTATTGGATTTGCTAAAGATGTCAATAAATAATATCTTTGGAAAAAAGATCTTGCATACCGATGACTAGTACTTTTAATTCATTTTAAGAGAGTAAATGAACAATTATTCTAAATTGGTGGTTCATGTCTTTATAAACATTGTACTTTCTTTGACGGAATTATTTTTGGAGGTATAAAATTAAAAATTTATTTCAATGTTGAGTTTCAATTTTCGGGATTGTTTTCCTCTCTTTGAATTAAGTAACTTACCTCGTAATCCAAGGGTTTGACGACGGTCACTTCCCCGGAGTCCGGATCGACTTTCAGCACGTCTGTTCCTTTAAGATCGAAATGCACCGGACTATTTTCCGGGTCGCTTCCCTCCAATCGATATATCACACTTCCAACAGGTGTTTTTTCCGATATCGCGAGGTTGTGCATGTCCATCGAGAACACCGGCGGCAAGTTCGCTCGACATTCTGAAACGAACAAAAATATTAAGCATTATTTTTATAAGAGAGAGACAAACAAAGTAAGGAAGGAAAAAAAGGAAGAAGAAGAGATTTATTAAACATTTTTTGACGTACATGTTTCCATGACGGCAGATTTAACTGATAAAGCGTTAAAAATTTTGCGTACAGTGCCCATAAAACATTCTCTTCTCTTTTACTGTGAAAAACTGCTTCTATATCGGTTGTTGGGCTATTTTCAATGGATAAATTTTGATTTAAACAGAAAATTCTAAAGGGAATTCCGATAAATACAAGTGTCACTTTTTGTTATTTAAGTTTGATAAACGCCATTTTATACACGAATTTAATTTAGGCCCGAGCGAGCTTGCGAGCGAGTTCTTAAATTAATGAGTGTATAGAAAAGTTTATAAACAAGGTGCATACTATACTTTTTCTACGACAAATACTTATTATTGTCTTAAAATGATTTAAATCAAAAATTTGTACAGAGCGCCATCTATGAAACAACAGGGGAAACTGTCAAATGTCACATTTTTACAATTTATAAACACAATTATAAAGGTTATAAATCGAAATGTATTTCTTGAAAATTGACAGTTTTTCACAGTGAAAGTAAAGGAAATGTTTTATGAGGACTTTGCAGTAGAGTCCGTGCCCGAATTTAAGTTATAGTTTACTGCCGGCGAAATTAAAAGGTCAGTACAATGTTCATATAAACTTTTCAAATATTGGCGTTGAGAAACTATTTAATACTTTTGTATTTTTGTATTGAGATAATAAAATAATTTTTACATTTAGTATTATTTTACAAGAAAGGCACTTTATTTTAACGATTGTATGACATTTGACAACTGTCAACTAACTTAAAACCAACTTCAGCCCGTGACTAAACACCTGTTGCTAACTTCAGCCCGTGACTAAAGCGCCGTAAAGCCACAACTTGTCAATGTGTATTTAAAAGGTCACTTAGTGTCATGGAAACATATATGATAAAGGGCGTTTTAAAGGTGGGGGTAGAAAAAATATATTAAATTAAATTATATATTTTTTTTATTTTTATGATCAATAAAACAGAAGGATTTTACACAAGATTAATGGCCCTAATACAAGATTAAACCGTTCCTATATCCAGGCTCATAATAAGTATTATAATCGAATATTTGAAAAATGGTTCGAGTATATGGAATAAAATAGAATTAATAAAATGTATGTTTTATTCAAAAAAGTTGCGCACATACATCATAAACGTTTCAATCATGAGGTCATACATTAAATTTTTAATGAAAAAGCAAAGATTATAAAAAAATACCTACTTTTATACCGGTCGAAATTTATTTCTTTTAATCAAAAAAGCATAAATTGAATAGTTTTTATTCTGGTTTTTTGATTTATTTATTATTCCTTATATCGTTGATTAAGAAAGTCAACGCTTATATGCTTATAAAGTTACGTTAGTGTGTGTATTTTATTTAAGTGATCATGGTGAATTATTGTGTTTTTAATTGTGAATGTAATTCAGTATAACTAAATCGTTGTATTTTCATGTTTTGCCAAAGGATCCAATTCGGTAAGTGCATTAAATGCAAATACAAATTTTGTTGGTGCTGAATTAACTAATTATAACTGTACATAATATAATTTATATTTAAGTTTAGACATTTTTAAGAAATCTAACAAAAAATAAAGCGTTAATAGTCCGGTCAAATTAGACCAAAAAATAACAGTGAAGGTACATAAATTTACAACAAGCTGAAAATCAGTAAAATTGTTCAGAATATAAATATAAATAAAATTTTAAAGTTCCCCATCATTCCCCTGTATGGAAAAAATTTTATTCAAGGTCAAAGGTCAAAAAAATTAGTTTTTCGCGATTTTTAGCAAAACGGTAAGTTTTATCATAAAAATACCCCAAACAAAAATTGTAGATCATAAAATAATCTATAAGAAATAAATCAATACTTTTTTTCCTACAAGCCACCGTTTTTGAGATATAACGATTCGAAAAGTTGTAAAAGTTGTAATCGTTATAATATGCATGAGTACGCCACGTATACATCTCTAGAGTTGTAATATATGTTAAAATATTTTTCTATCGGTCATTTTAACTTACACTTAAAATATAAAGTATACCTACACATACCTACACAGATTTTAATTGGTTAACTTTTTTAAATAGCCAACAAAAATTAAACGGGCTTCTGGCCGATTAGTTTTCATTCGATGAAGCTCATCTTTTAGTATGTCAAACATTGGTCTTTTACCCGTTGATTCGTGTATTTCGTTCGGCCAATTTCGAAAATTTCTCTCCCTAAAAAACGTTTTTCGAAAAAAATAAAAAAGAACGCTGTTCGAAAACTTTCCGGCATCCGGCCCGTTTGCAATATTGATTTTTTCCGTTGTCTTTATATCTTTTTTTTTCTAAGCGCCATAGCTCGGAGGCCGTTGAAGGTTGAAATTTGCATCCGTTTTTTCTGCCTAAGAGACCTATCCGCGGACCAAATTTTTCCGGTGTCGAAAAGGCCCACATTTTTTCGATTTTTCCGTCAAATTTGTCACGTTCCGTTGTCTTCGCTTAACTTTCGAACGAGCTGAGATTTTTCGGCCAAACTCGAGGAAAAGGTGCTTCGGGACAAGAAGTTATCACCAACGGCATTCGATTTCAATAAGCTTGTCTTCCTCCAACCTCAGTTGCTGCTCATCAACATCTTTTTCGGGTATATTACCAAGTTCAAGTGTGGCTTGGTTATCAGCTAGACCTTACAGACTGGGGTTGGAAGTTGGTCAACAACACATTAGAACCAGTTCAAACTTTACTCCCAACTGCGCCGGAAAAACTGCTGAACTAAATATGGTTGCAAAAAAGTCGGACTGTTTTATTCTCTGGCATGTACGAATTGTCAAGGCCGGTCGTGCTCTAATGTTGAATCACCAACAGTGGAGGATTCATTTAATTCCAACGAGGTGACATACGATACATCGCTATTGACGCAATTTACATGTACCCAGGATGAACATGAAGAAGAAGAACAAGAAGAAGATCAAGAAGAAGAATTTAAATCTTACGAATCAGACGAATAAACTTCAGTACTTTTTTAAATTTACATCGCTATTATCTTTTCCAAACATTGCTAATTTCCGTTAATTGCAATAGTTTCAAATTAAACAGGATCACTACTGACCCGTGAAATAGGCCTACTGGGGAAACCACGTTAAAAAACGCGCTAAGTAAACTACCTCATAGGTGGCGTGGAAACGTGTGCATATTATGGCGATTATAACTTTTACAACTTTTCGAATCGTTATATCTCAGAAACGGTGGCTCGTAGAAAAAAAGTTTTGATACATTTTTTATAGATTATTTTATGATCTATAATTTTTGTCTGGTGTATTTTTATGATAAAATTTACCGTTTTGCTGAAAATCGCGAAAAATTATTTTTTTGACCTTTGACCTTAAATAAAAAAATTTCCATACAGGGGAATGTTGGGGAACTTTAAAATTTTATTTATAATTATATTCTGAACAATTTTACTGATTTTCAGCTTGTTGTAAATTTATGTACCTTCGAATGTCTAGATTGACCGGACTATAAATACTCTGAAAGTAACAATGAACCACAATATGATAGCTTAAGCATTGTTAGTAATCATTAAATTAATTAATGTTGACTAATAAACTGACATTTTACATTTTAACAATGTCAAAGATAGGTCTAAAACTATCACATTCTTTGTCGCAAATGCACATTTCCTTTGTTATTAAAAATTGCCGGTAAATTTTACCTATTTAAATTTTTATTCATCAAAGTTATTACCGCTTTTAAGCCTATAAGACTATAACGTGGAGTGCTGATAAAACATTATGTTCACTTTCACTGTGAAAAACTGCTTCTCTATAGGATTTAACCGGTAGTTAGTCCATTCCCAAGTTAATATCTTGAAACTAAAATGGTTATATAAATGGTTATATAAGAGTATACTCTATAGTTTTATGGATATCGTTCCATACACATATTTAATGTAAATCATTTTTAGATAATAATAATTATATGTTGTAGAAAAGGTATAGCATAGTATAGTATATTTAATAAACTTATCTATCTCGTGTAGTAGACTCTGCCATTAATTTCATTATAATGCTTTTAAGAAATGCAAACAGGTTTAAAACTCAATCAAAATTTAATGTTTTCCCAAGTCCAGGCTTATTTTTGGCAAGCAAATACGGCTTTAATTTTTTTTGCTTTTTCAATTTCAGCGTTTGTTTTGGAGCTCGAAATACAAAATACGTAGAACAATTATAGTTTTGTATAGCTAAATATAATAGTATAATGTTTCAAGAATTGCATGCTAATATTAAAGGGTTTTTCTTTGATAGTGTGTAAAGTTAAAAAAATACTGGTGAAGCCATTTGTATAAAAATAAATAACAAGATTTAAAAATAGTATATTAAAGAACTAATGTCGCACGTGGACAATTTATAAAACGAGCGACGAAGGAGCGAGTTTTGTAATGGACGAGTGCGATAAAAGGTCTTATGACATGAGTTCTTTAGGCTATTTTATCTATTTTGCAAAAATTCTATAAAAAAAATTAATTTTATACCTTAAATTTAATTTGGTCGAATTTAACCGGTAGTTAGTCCATTCCCAAGTTAATATCTTGAAACTAAAATGGTTATATAAATGGTTATATAAGAGTATACTCTATAGTTTTATGGATATCGTTCCATACACATATTTAATGTAAATCATTTTTAGATAATAATAATTATATGTTGTAGAAAAGGTATAGCATAGTATAGTATATTTAATAAACTTATCTATCTCGTGTAGTAGACATGACTTTTAGCAATATGCAATATGCGTTGTACATAGGTATATGATATATGATACTAAATTGAATTTTTCAGCAGAACTTATACGCAAGAATTTCAAAGAATATATAGATATAAGAGCAAAAAACTTGTTTAACAAGTAAAGAGAACTTCAAAAGATTATACGAAACATT